GTCCATGGTATCTGAGAGAACCCCACCTCCCTGGGAACCCCACCATTTCTGCTGCAGCAGCTGGAAGCCAGCCAGAATACCAAAGGACATGAAGGCTTTAGAAACTCAAAAGTTATTCTTTAGCAAATATTCCTACCTTGGGTCATCCATAGGGAGATGGTGCTGAGAGCAAACCTGGAATTAATTTCTTTATGCAGGTTACCATGCAATACAGGCAAAGTTGTCCTCCATCCATATTTTGGGTTGTCACTTCTAACACCTGAATTTGTACATTGGTACCAGTAAGGAGCTCCTCCCCAGCTGCAAAGTCTGCAGTGCTTGCAGAGAGGGTGTCCCACTGCCTTTCTGGCTCATTGTTTGTAACACTGCTGCCACCTCAGGTCTCTGATCCCATGAGCAGAACTACTGATCCTTCCCACACCTGCTCACAGAGCACATACTCACCTGGCATGTTTTACAAGGGCCCTTTTAATGCAAGGTGACACCAATGAGCATTGGTCTCAACTCATTTTTAGGAGCTGATTTCCAGGTTCAGCGATATCAGCACTGTAGACTGAACCAAGAACAATGCTGGCCACTCTAAGCTGTGATGTCCTTGCTCTGAATTGGAGCTCTGGATTTTAGATTTACCAAATCCCTTGATCTTAAACATGTCAAGAACTCTGTTGGAACCTGATTGCTGGCTTCCATGATTGGCAGTGGGCACGAGTTTATGCACCTCACTGAACATGAGTTTAAATGATGACACTGAACAGCTGTATGACGTGAAATAAATCACTTCATAAAAATCCCTGGTGTTCTCACTAATGTATAACTGAGATCTGTCCCACTGGCACATTTTGAAAAGGACTAGAAAAATGTTTTTATCTGAATGGCAAATAATAGATGAATTCATGCTTAACTTGCATTTTTCCATTTTAGAAAAATTAGTTTAAAAAAACCTATCATAGCAGCACAGTAATGATAATTGCAGCTTAATTACCCATAACTGATTCTTTATGCCCTGAAATAATTTATTCTCCTTTTATACTTGTCTCTGATATCCATTAGAGTCATTACAACTGTGAGTCTATAATTACATATTTTGCATTTTAACATTCTATGCCAGTATGTGCTCTCTTCTTATCTTTCAGCTAATTTCATTACCGAAACACCAAGAAAATTTCCATATGAATTTTCCAGAAGGTTTTGGGGTAGGTCTAGCAGTTAATGAAGCCTAGAGAGACTGTTCTTAGGACACAGCTTTTGTATGTGCTCACCAGTCTGGCTTTGCCAACTGCTCTGTGCAGGCTGCACCGTGGTGGGACTTTGGCACTGGGTGGATGTTAGGACACAACTAAGTGCTTGGGAGAAGAGAGGTCAGATTTTGTCTGTGTTATGTTTGAAGATAAAGCTGAGAAAGCTCTTGACAAGGCTCTTCCAGGAGGACCCAGGTTCACTTCTGCCTGGTGGCACCACCAGTAGGAGACACAGCACTGCCAAAAGCCAGGACTTTTCCTTGTTCCACGTAAGCATGCTCTATGCCAAGCTGCATGCACTCATATCCTTTAGCGGTGGTAGAAAATTTGGTAAAATCATTGCAATAAAGCAGAAAATGTGCTCTTTGCTCTCTCCAATCTCACCTTGCTAAATGCCTTCCTGTCTCAATTGCCAAAAGGTTAGTCAGCATCTGGCCCAGAAATGTGACCGTGTGGGCCACACTCTAGTTCCTTCACCAAACACCAGGGAGATGCCAACACCCAAAGGGGCCAAGGCGGTTTAATGCTTGCCTTGAAGAATCTTAAACGAAAAACCTGTTTTCTAACTATCCCTCTGACTCACCAAAAGCTGCCAAACACATCATTTACTCTATCTTTCAGCTTTGCCTGTTTGTAAGACAGGAGTCTTGCTACCTATACTGACAGGTTCCTACCAGAAATTGTCTGTAACCTCCCCGTGACAAGAGCCAATGCAGCAGTATTTACAATCCCTTCACTCCAACAGCTGTTTCAGAGCCAGAAATGCATTTTTTTCCATGGATAACATGGCCTGGGCAAGATTGCTTGGAAGATGCAAATATTAAAATAAAATGGAAATATGATAATGCTTTTTAATGGACAAATTAAGCTGAATGACAAACACAAGATTGTGCAATATAAATTTCACACAGAGGGCAAGTAAAAACTGAGTTGCATGCAGCAATTGGAACAAATTAATCTGATTTTCCCATGCCACATTTTTACAACACAGAATCAAAAGAGCCTGAAAATGAAACATTAAAGTGAATTTCCTACTAGAATTTAACAAAGAAGGTACCCTGTCATTTCCTCAGCTGGAAAGGGCATATTTGGATTGAGTCAGGGATTTATTTTCTTAAATAATAAAACACCTTCCTCCCTCCTTCTCTCCCAAGTTCATTATTGTTTAGATCAAGACTGGGACAAATCAGTGAGATAAGGAGAGTAAGGTTATCAGTATTTCTGGGGCAGAGATTTTACCCTTTAGGAGCATATGCTGCATGGAGCCACATGATCATGGAGTGAAAAATGAAGTGACTACAGTTATTACCTGATGTTCCTCTTTAACTCCCCCAATCAGTAACCTTCACAGCAGTCCAAGTGGCTATAGTGGCTGTGCTAGTTTTGGCCTGTCCCTGCATTTTCACACCTCCCCAAGCAGCACCAACACAGCAGTGTGTTAAAAAAAACCCTTTTAAAAAAAAAGTTAGGTCAAAAGAAGACAGTTGTTACCAGCTTTCCTGTTTTGAATGGGTTGGAAATAGGCCAAAAGCTGGGTGCTGGAGCTCAGCAGTGGATTTGTACATACTGGAAGACAGCTCCAACTGAGCATTATTACAGCTGCTGAGCACACACAGGTCTTTGAAGCCGCATCTCCTTACACACCCTGATACAGTCCAGCAGGCAAGGGACACCCTTCATGTGCAGCTGGAATCCCGGCCATAAAGAATATTCCTCTTGGGCAAAAAAAGTCTTCTCACAGCTAAGTTCCCAGCAGTGTTTCCCTGCTGGACTGGTTGGGATTCCCTGGCAAAGTAACAGCCAGCAGCAAGTGACGCAGGCTGGCCGTGACAACTGCTCGTCGAATACTGCTTAGGCAAAGGGGCACAACTCAGTGCTAGTATTTCTTTAGTGATTTTAGAAGACTGAAACAGCTTTGGGCTGAGATGCTGGAGTCCACAAGTTAAGACCCTAAGGTGGAAATGCAGTCCCATTACGACTACTGCATTTGTTGCTATGGAGCATTTTGAGACCATGGAGGCCTGTGTTGAAGGCACAGTGCCAAGCCCCTTCTCTGCCATCAGCTCTTTTCTTGCATTTAAAGTTTCTGCAACTTCTGTGTCTTTTCAGCAGTATTACAGTCCTCATCCCAGACCACAACATGAATACAAGCAGAAGAATTAACAAGGTCTCTGCACGGAAGGTAAGCAGCCCTCAAAACAGGACTTTCCCACCTCTATATACAGTTCTGTGCAATCCTATTGCACTAGCACAAGACTTTTAACAGAGCAACCCGCTGAAAAGGGCTGGCTCTTGTTATCTTTTCCAATTTAGATTTTTGTTGCTTCAATCTCCTAGGTGAGTGTTCTGCACTTTACTAATATTTAATCTGCATTTTTTAAAGCTTTGTAAAAAAACTATTTCAAGTTTGACATTTGATGATTTCTTTCTCTGGTTTGACTAATTCAGTTGTTAATTTTAAAGATTCACATGTGCATCCTTTGCTGCACTGTTTGTTCTCTTCCACCCCATGGACATCCCTCCCTCCCTACAAAGTAAAAATTTGTGTCTCTCTCACCACTGCTACCTACGTAAGTCCCATAAAGGAATGAGATCTGCTACATGGTTTCTGTTGCTCTTATCTTTTTTAATTTCCTTCTTACTGTAAGTCACCATAATTGTGCCTTTCTTCAGAGAAGCACAAAGGTTTTCCCTGTTCTCCACTGCCTCTGCCAGCACCTGCTCCGAAACTCCCATCTGGGGTTGCTGCTTGCTGCTACTGACTGCACACTGAACAAGCATCAGCTCACATCTGTCTTCACAACCAGCCAACAGTGCTCACCCAACTGCACCTAAGCACGTTCAACAATGGGTCAAGGATGACTGAGGAAAACCAGCAGCTCGGAAGCAGCAGCTGGAGGGGAGCCAGCAGGAACCTGACCAGCAGCTGGCTGGTCCTGAGTTTTTTAAGCTCAGTCAGTATCTATCCTTGCAGAAGTGGAAAAGCTGTGAGGCTTATGAATTTCAGGTACCTTTGTCTATAGGAAGCAAATGAAACCCTGAAACATTTTTCAACTTACACCACATCCCATGCCTTCTGCAGATGAAAGGAAAGGCAGAAGTCTGGGACCACAGACTTCCTCCTCCTCCTCTCACAGACCAGCCTAGTCGGAAGGAAATGTCTAGTGCTTATCTCCATTTCAGAAAACAGACACAGTCTCTGGTGGAAAAAACACAGGCAAAGCCCAAGGGAAACCCTGGGGGCAAAACCAGAAACTTTGGATCAAACCTCTTCAGTATTTGCAGCTTTAGGAGAAGTCTGGCTTTTTTGGAGCCATGCTTTTATGCTGTGCAGGAGTCTGGCTCAGGAGTACTGTTCACTGCACTCTTGACAATAAAGCAATGCCAGCTTACAAAAACCACATGCCTGAAGGCAGCATGGCAGGAGGGCACGTTCACAACGCACCCAAGCTCTCCTTGTGCAACTTCTTTCCGGGCCCACACTCACATTTCTAAGATTTTCACTGTCCTTTCTCTGTAAGAGCAAAAATTGCAATTCTCAAAAGAGCAATTGCACCAGGAGATTGGGCTTTAAGGAAAAAAAGAAAAGAAGAAAAAAAAAATAACAACAACAAAAGCCCTCAAAACCCCACATTTACTGTCAAAGTCTCTAAAATTATGAGATTTGACAATAAGTCTTTTGTTCTTGTGGCAACATGCAACTAGGCAACATGCAGCTTGATTTCTGCAGCCAGTAGATATTCAAAGTACTTTTCACATACAGTAGGTGTCAATTTGACTTTATTTAAGGAAAAACGGGGAAAAAACAGTAATTTCCATAATACACAGAAGACAAGTTAGATAGCACTGCAAAAAAAAGGCTGAGTGTTTTACTTGTCACCAGTCTGCTTTGCAGCTCTACGATTAGTAATTTTAATGCAGTTTGTCATTTTGTATTATTGTTTAGCATCTTTATAATCAGCAGAGTTTGGGGTTATAAATCACAAAAAGTGTACTACTACTACTATGAAAAACTAAAAAACCCACAAAAATCACTTTCAAATAAACCATAAATATGTGATGCACATTAGTGTAACAAAACCATTTTTGTAAACATTTTCTCCAACATAACATGTGCATAAGATAAAAAATAAAAACACTGCAGTCATACAAGTTAGGGTTACTTTGACTTAAAGATACAGAAAATTATTACTTATTAAAGCTTAAAACTAAACCTAGGAGCTTTTCTTTTCTTCTTTGCTTACAAAAGCACTGTTTGAAGAGTTCCATGTTGGTATACGAAGTGGTTTTGTAATACTGTTTTTACCTTGCCATGTTGGCGCTTCTGCAGAGGCAGAAGCTGCCAGATGGGCAGGCCCTCTGAAGGAAGGAGATTTCCACCCTCCCCCAGAGCCTGAAAACTTCAACAGCACATATCCATGACCTGGGCATCCCTATAGCACTGGAGCATCTTCCTCTAGGTGAATAGCATCAGCTTTCAAGGACTAGATTAATTTTGACCACATAGCACTGGAAGATTTAAATCACGCAGACTGACATTCGATCGAATCAGCTTCGGCAAACTACACTACAGGGCAGCTCTGTGATCACACCCATGTCTACCATCACGCTGGATTTCCGAGTCCCCTTTAGTTCATTATAGTACAAAAGGTTGATCGTTCTTCTGGCTGACCACACCGGGCCTGAAAAGAACACATCCTTCACCTTCAACACTATCCAAAAGTCATACAATTAAAAAAAAATAGTTCTAGGTATTCCTCCGCCAGCAAATGTAAGGCTTTCTTGAGTTTTGATTCTTTTTGGGGGGTGGGGGAGTGGGGGTTGCTGTGTGCACACGCATGCGCTGGAGGTACGCAATTACCGCGCGCTTTTCAACCTCTGCGGCGTTCGAAGGAGAGTCCTCAGCAGCAGCGCTGGTCGGGGTTGAAGGATTTACAGCAGTCAGATCTGACACCAAAAGAAGGGTCTGTTGAGTCTGAGCTTTGCACACTTGGTGCTCTTGGCTCTTAATTGATTGTGTGACCAGTCGCTCGAGCCATCAGCTTGACTGAATTGAAGAAAACGTGTTTAAAAAGCCCTACCTGTCATGCCATGAAGGAAAGTTAACCACAGCAGAAGACAAAGCCCATGAAACACTGAGAGCCTGTTCACTAAATGAACAGCTTAAGGCAGCTGTCAGCAAAGTACCCCACCAAAGGAATTAAGGGGGAAAAAAAAAAGAAAACAAAAAGGAAAATGGCTGAAACGTGACACTGTGCATTATTACAACACCAACAGATTATTATACACTCAAGATTTCTCAAGTAATGAACATGTAGCCACTAAACAAATTATTACTCTCAAGACATTTATTAAAAATGTCAGAACTTATTCATAAAATAAAACTGACTTAAAAAAAAAAAAAAAGAAAGGAAAAAAGCCAGAGCTGGGATCTTACATCTAAACACAGGTATACGCTGTTTTTATGAATAAGCAGTATTAACTACATTCTTAAAAGAGTTTTAGTGCATTGCATTCTTAAAAAAGAAAAACATCACCGCCCCAAAATGTTTCCTACAACATTTAACAATTTATAGAACTAGCCTAGTTACTTTTACCTGCCTGTTACTAAGCCCATGTGTTAGAAGAGTCAAACCTCTGGTTTAGGCTAAATTCATACTTCTGTTAAGGATGAAACTGGTTTATAAAATGCTTGCTTTACCAAATTTTGTAAGCAGATTACATTGATCAGTGTCTCACTGCCATACCGCTACGACTATTGTCCCTACTCGCTCCTCCTGCTGAAACTTGCTATGCAATAACAGTCAGAAACCTTTCAATCTGGTAGTTTTGGTATTAAGATTAAATTAGACATTAATGGTTTTCTTCTAAAAACGTATAAACTAAACCACCTCTTTTATTTTATGCATTAAAAACAATGAGGTAGGCACAAAAAAATAAACATATGTAGTTTGGATTTTATTCCTTTTTTTCTTTTTTCTTTTTTTTTTAAGTTCTGCGAGTGCAGACTGTGGTAAAACTGTTGTTGCACTTCTAGGTTTAAACAAAAATTAAACCTTTAACTGAGGCAGTGCTAATACTGTGACATAACCAAGTTCTGGCCTAACACAGAATCATTATAGAAAGTGAATTTTTTTTTCCTTTTTTTTTTAATATCACCTGCACATGTTTCAGGCAACACCTGGTACACAGAAAATGACTAAAGTTATTGGCCAGGCCAAAATAAAACTGCAGAAACAAAAAAAACCCTAAGAATTCCACCCCAAGCCCCTTCCCACCCTCCCTGTCCCCAAAAAGAAGTTATCCTAGTCACTGTGTCTTTCACATTTTATAAATATTAACTTCTTAAAACCTGCACCTTCCTCTTTGTCCACATATTGTCACATTACAAAAAAGAAATGTCAATTAAATACATTGTTAACATTACTAGACTAGATCTGCCCTCTGTTTCAGCCAGTCTGACTCTCTACACCACTTCTCACCTTCTCTTGCCTGCCTCTTGTCCACTCAACAAACAGCATGGTCATGGTAAGCCTGGTTTGTTTTTCTTCCTTTTTTCCCTCCCTCCTCTGTTTTAACACTAACAAACAGAGTCCTTCAAATCCTAGGAATACTGGAGCTGAAGGGAAAAGAAGACCTGTAGCTTTCTAGCGTGATCCCAAATCTCAAAGACATTGTAGCACCTGATGGCAATATCTTTACAGCACCAGCTGCGTCGCAGCCTCAGTTGAAAAACATAAAGAAACCTAACACCAGTGATGCCTGCACACACATTTACACAGAGTGCTGCACTCGTGCAGGTCTGTACTCCAGTTGAAAATAATTCCAAGTTATGAAGATCTCAGACTCTGGATGTCAGCAATTCCTCTCCAAATCCCACTGCTTCTACCAGCTCAGAAGTGAAGTCCTGCCAAGGGTCATGAAATAGACTTGACTGCTTCCACCTGACCGCACGGAGGCAAAGAAAACCTGCAAAGAAAAGAGATTGGCAAACTCAGCAAGCAGGACAGCAGTGGTTCTAATGTGCCTTCACTGTCCCAGTATTTGCAGTGCAATTGCAGTGCTCGTCTGGGCTGGTGGGGATGGAGCTGATGCTCCTCACAGCGGCCTGTAGGGTGCAGGGCTCTCTACCTGTGTTAAACAGTGTTGTTAACACATCTGTGTTCTGGCTACTGCTGAACAACACTGGCACAGTATCAAGGCTTTCTCTGCAGCTCCCTCACCCTTAAAAGGCCAGTGGACTGGGATGGACAAAAGGCTGGAAGGGGACAGTGTTGGGACAGCTGACCCAAATTGACCAAATGCATGTCCCATAATATACAGCATCACGTACACCAATAAAAGCTCAGGGAAAGGAGGGATGCTGTGGTGATGACATCTGCCTTCTCAAGCAAGCATTATGTGTGGAAAATGTCTGGACATCCACCTGCCCATGGGAGACTATGTATTAACTCTTTATTTTGTCTGGCTTGCATGTAAAAGCTGTCTTATTAAATTTTGCTGTCTTATTAAACTGTCCGTATCTCGATCCATGAGTCTTTTTGCCTCCTGACTATTTTCTTTCCCTTCCATGGGTAAGGGGAGAGAGCTTGAGGCTAGCTGGGTGTTTGGCTGCTGGTCAGGGTCAACTCAACCTAAGTACCCAACTGAAGTACACATTTATCATCTTGGCAAAAAACTTGGTGGGAGGGAATGTACCTTGTCGTTGCGTTCACATAAGAATTTGAGTCTTTGTGCCCTCTTGTGCATGAACACACCATCCAAGTGTCCAGTTTCCACCGACCGTATCTCGATAGCTTTTTCTCCCCAGCCCATGATCTGGTTAGATCGGATGTATGCTTTGGAAAGAAAACAGCACATTAGGATGGGCAGAGGGCAACAGGAGAAATGGGAAAAGCATGACACACTCTAGTTAAAAATTACTTGCATGTGCATTATTGTAGCTACACACATGTTCAGAGGGCTATTTCTGTCCTCAGAACATTCAAGATGCCTAAAAAACACCTTTTTTTAATTTTAATTTCATTTGCATGTTTTCTATGTTATATACTTCTTCCTTGGGCATTCATAACAAAAGAAACTTTATAACCTTTAATTAAACGGGAGGAACACTGAACTTTTACACAGGCCTTTTCTTCCAAGTCTGGGACAAAGAGACATATTAATTAGATGTTGACTAGGAGAAAGCAGAAGCCAAGGTTTGAATAGACTAATCCCATCCACTACAGTATGTCCCAAGCAGCAGCTCTATGTCTTGTGTGTTATTTTCCCTCCTTGATGGAGCTTGTCAGCAAAAACAAAGAATGAGAGGGAAAGGTAAAACCAGGAAAAAATTATCTAGCCTCTCTTAAAAGGAGTAATAATTGAAAAACTGATCTCCTTGAGAAAGCCAACTGAAAATCATTCTGTGTATCTCACAAGAGGTTCACATTAAGCTCTCAAAGTAGAAATATTATTATTTGACATACTGCATTCCTTTGTGCACAAATAAAAAAACAAATCAAGCATTCTTCCTTCGAGTGTCACAGGTAACACAGATTAGTAGTAGCATGAGGAAAAAATATCTATTTTTGATAGCAGTAAGCAAATTAAATAAAAAGTAAAGTCACCAGCATTATAAAAAGGTATATTCACAAAGCAATTTGGATGGACAGTTTCAGGAATGCTGTCAAAAATAACATAAGGGAACTTAATGAAAACGAAGTTGTTGCCTCTGATTTGCCTGCATATTTAACAGAAGAATAAAAAGGACTTTCCTAGCCAGCAAAATTTAAAAATTACATTAACATTACAGTACTTTCCTTTTATATAACAAATTCATATTAGTTTTCAGTGAAATTAAATCAAATTACCTACTACAGTATCATGTACACCAACAGTGCATATACCATCCCAATGGAAAATTATTCCTTTTTAAATGATTTACTAGTGCTAACTGGACCCAACAGTTACTAAAAATTGACAGAAGAAATGTTCAGATGGTGTTGGTGGTCTCAATGCCATTTACTACTTCACAAGCATTCAAGTCTCCAAAGGCTCTGGAATCTGCCAGCTGATGTATTCTGCTTGCTTTTAGATCTAGTCAAGAGTTAATCAGCAGAGCAGGGAACATGCTGTGCACCTAACTTCTTTAAATTTCCTCCTGCATTGTTGCCCCTGTTGCTCAAACAGCTATCAGCAGTCCTTTCCCAGTATGTGCAGCCATCCCACGGCCCATAAAATGCAATGTGCTTGCCCAACAAAAGGACAGCGTGCCTACAGCCCTTGCTTTGCTCTGCACTGAATTACAGCAGCACAAGCAGGAGGGATTCTGGTGTGTACTTGTGTACTACACTCACTGTTATCACTCTCAATCTTGCTTTGAGCTGGAGAGATAAGGGAGAGTGGTGCTAGGAGAGATGAGGAATCTGAAGGTGAATTAAAGACATCAAATGAGGTACACCTTTTGTTGTCTACATAGACTTATCCATAATATTTTACTCATCTGCCACTTTATATGCCAGAGATACAGAAGACCTACAGAGATCATGGTGAATTTCTCAATCATGAACTCCTCAACTTGATTGTTTGGGTTTTATTCACAAAAACTTTAGCACAAAGCAGATCTGTATCATCTTCACTTTGCACAGTTGTTTTCCAGAAATACAGCACTGACTTCAGATGCAGAAGCAGCACACTCAATGTTCCCTCCTTCTGCCCATGTGCACACAAACTCACACTCCCTAAGAGCACACAGCTCACCAGAGGACTTACCAACTGAAGTTGGCATTTCTCCCCACTGCAGAACCACATCCTTGGTTATCCTTCCATATGTGTTGACATAAACTCCTTCATCCTCATAGCAGACCAGCAGCTCCATCCCATCCGTGTTTGGGAGGATGATGATTGCGTGAGGTTGGATACTACTCTGGATCTACAGAGACAGAAGGGAAAGCAATTTAATGCTGCAGAGCCTGTGCTAGAAGAAAGGGATGGGGAATTTTGGTTTTGGCTAACACATAGGGATTCACAGAATCATAGGATGGCTTGGGATAGCTTGCACCCTAAAGATCATCAAGTCCCAAATTCATTTACTTTACAAGTGCCACATCTGCTGCCCTCAAGCTAGACACCACAGTGACCAAGATTTGTAAACCCCTGGAGCAAAAATCCTCTTATCTTAAGGCAGACATCTAAATGAGGAAAGATTGATTTCTCTGTAGGGGTCCCCATTTCTTTCCACGTGCAGAAAGGGAGCCTGGGGCAAGCAGAGCAGATGCAAACCTCAGATCTCTGCACTGCGTTGAATACTGCTTGGGGTGGCCCATCTGACACCTCTGTGTACAATGAACAACAGGAAACCTTGGCAGCTAAGGTCACCTGGTCTTTGTCAACCCTTTCGAAACCCATCCTTGGGCTGTTATGTCATTTGTGCTGCTGGACATTTGCAGGGTACTCGGCCATTTAGCTGCCACCCCCTCAAACAGTCACAGTGGTCCTCATCAGATCTGAGTGAGCAACTCCAAACCATAGAGACACACTGACTATGAGGTGAGGACTGACTGTGAGACACAAACTCCACAGCACATGTGGCCATATCTGCTCAGACCCCCGCACCCAATACACCACTGCAAACATCCGGCAGTGACCCACAGGGACAGCCTCACACATTGGTCATTTGGGGAAAGGAAGGGGTTGGAGGGGGGGTGACCCACCAGAAAGGAAGAGAAAAACCCAGACACAACAGCAGCTCTTACATGTGTTGGTAGATAAATATCGTAGACCGATCCTGAATCCACATCAACAGCATGGAAGCCAGCGCAGGAGCCATAGATCACTTTTAGTCTCTGACCCTCTTCTACAGTTAGATCCACCAGCAATGGCTTATGTACCAATTCTCCAAATGACTGTGAGACAACCATCAGTGAGATTTACTTTACTGCTTAGAACAACAATGGGGTTTATAAAAACATGCTCACATGCACACATTGTGGATTTATTCCTCCACATCCCTCTGGTCCCTGGACAGCAGACCCACTGGGCTGACACATCTCTCATGGAGAGATTACTCTGCAAACTGCTGCATTTCAATCACCTAGGCTATATTCTGTAGGGTTTACTTGGTCCATTTGTTTTTTTATTAAGAATTGTTTTCCCCAAAGTTGGGGGCAATTCGGCACTTCGATCTGCACAACCCACAGTAACTGTCTGTAAACCAGCCTGGCAATTACACCAAGCCAGCTAATTTCATTCTGGCAATATGCAAAAACAGTCCCATAGCATTGCTGAATATCACTTCATGACTTGCTCAAAGAAGCTTAGACTCAGTCCACTTCTCTCTGTCCCATGTTTTATTAATAGATATTCAAAAACAGTTCCATAGCATTGCTGAATATCACTTCATGACTTGCTGTGCTCAGACAAAGAAGCTTAGACTCTGTTCCATGTTTTATTAATAAAGAGAGCAAACAAAAACTTGTGATGTTGTGTCATTATTAGTTTATGCTCAGTTACAATTTAGACTTTTATTGACTCTTAGAATTAAAAAAAAACCAGCCTGGCAATTACACCAAGCCAGCTAATTTCATTCTGGCAATATGCAAAAACAGTCCCATAGCATTGCTGAATATCACTTCATGACTTGCTCAAAGAAGCTTAGACTCAGTCCACTTCTCTCTGTCCCATGTTTTATTAATAGAGAGAGCAAACAAAAACTTGTGATGTTGTGTCATTATTAGTTTATGCTCAGTTACAATTTAGACCTTTAAATGTATTGACTCTTAGAATTTAAAAAAAAAAACCTCCTAAATTAAAATATAACACAAAGTTTGTGGAGATTTTTCAAAGACCTTGGAATATGGCCATGACATAATATGAAAACATTTTTGTAAAAGGAATAACTGCAAGTGGTTATGAGAAAATCCTACCTATGGCTGAAATATACTGTTACCTTAAAGGCCATAAATTTATGGTATGGCTTTGGTGCCCATGCATAGACTTCCACAGAACTCTTCAATGCAATTACCAAGAACTTGATTCTTTCATATTTTACTGAAATTAAAGAAAACAAAAAAATAATTAAGCATAATGCCGAAGTCATTCCAGTTACATCAAGAAAGAGGACACGTTATGTAAACATGAAGAAATACTGTAATTTTGAGAGTATAGTAGCATTGCATTTTAGGATTGCTACTTCTGTGGAGTTAAGCTCTTTGATACATTTATGCTACAGAAGTCATTACTCTTACTAGCAACTGACCATGTTATCATCTTTAGAATTAACTAGTCAGTACTTATTTCCACTTTTTTTTTTTCCACATTGGACAGTGCTTAGTCACCAAGACAAGAAAAGCTGTTTTCAGGGACATTCCAATAAAAGAAGACCATGCCTGGAAGAGTCCATTACTGGCAGTTCCAGTCACAACAGTGCTAGATTGAGCTGATGGAAAAATTACCCAGAGGAAAGGAGGAAGAAATGAAAATTACAACATAACCCAATTTCAAGAGCAAAAGACAAGCTTAATAGTGGAGCACTTTCCTTTGTCCCCAAATTCTGAGATAACTCATTTGAGAAAAAGAAAAAAAATTCACATAATTTATCGGAAATAAAGTGTCATTATACTACTGATCCACGCTACTACTTGCTCTTTGAACTCTGCAGGAAAGCAAGACTGAACTGTAAGTGTTAAGGAACTTGACACTTCTTCAACAGACAAAAAAAAGTCTCTCAACCTCCACAGCTGTACTGACTAAAAACAGAGCTTTTGTTCACTCTTGTCTAGCTTACAAGACTTCCTGGAATTTTTTTCACGGGGAAGAGGGGGGTGTTGAACAAAACCACCTCATTTGTGAAAGGGGACATTTGATAATTCTTATTATTTGCTCTGGGTGCTATCTGGGAATTCACCCAAATCTTAAGTTTCAAAAGAGCAATTTCTCATTTAGAGGAGCCAAAGTTGCCTGAAGCAACTGAGATCCATAAATACCACTTCACCCTGACATTGGAGACCCCTGTTGCATCAAAGAGCCAAGGAAGTGATCAGTGCCAGCTGCCTCGGTGACAGCGTCCAGACTGCAAGCCCAGCTCCTGGCAGAGCTCTCCTTCTTGGGAACTGAAGCGCAGCTGTCCAAGAGGCCTCGCACTACCTGAAAAAATGCACTGTATTTCTGTGGTTCGGAGGGAAGTTCAGTGCCAGGCTGCAGCCCAGGCTAACAAACCCCTCTTCATCAGGAAGAGAATGCTCTTTGTTTCAGATGCTTCCCTGCTGGAAAGCCTCCTTTCAATAGCTGCTGATGTATTGTTAACAGGCCACTTCATTATGCTGCTGACACCCTGGGGTATGATACCAGAGAAGTGCATTATTAATTGTTTTCGGGGTCAAGCTCCTGGTTCAGCAGTCACTTACTGCCATTGTTATTGATTACGCCCCATTAGCAGGTTTTTCCAAGAGCACACGCACGACAGGAGGGGACTGAGAACAGTTTGATTGCTGCTGCTCCACACTGACTGACACAGCTGGAAAGGAACTGAGCTGGCTCCTGAGAGAAAATCAAATCAGAGGCAACATCCAGTGCCCATTAGGATGCACCGTGAAACTGAAGCAGCAGAAAGAGCTCTTGGTTCATATTCCCACCTGCAGGGCAGCAGGCTCACTGAATATACTCCGCTGGCTGTGAATCCTACATGTCTTTCACCAGCTTTGGTGGAAGTTTCTATGCCCAAATCCATTTAAATTACTTAAAACTACTCAAAGGGCACCTGCTTCGTGAAAACACATTTAATTCTGTAAATGTACTGCAGCAGATCTGAGATGGCATTAGGGAATTTCATGATCTAAGAGGAATCAGTGAATCACCCTGGAGTCACCTACATGCTTCTGTTCCCAAATTCTTCCCCAAAGCTCATCTGCTACCTGGGCTTTCTTTTTCCTCCCACTTTCTTTTTATCCCAGTCTCTAAAATCTACATTAAAAAGAGACTTTTTCAATTTATTCCAGCAAATAAATTCATCATGGTAAAAGATATGGGAAACTTGTTAGTAAAGGAAACAGTTGCTGGGGACGAGAATCCCTCTATTACCTAAAGAGGTGGTGAAATGTTACCAGCCCTCAGTGCCCAGATCAGCACCCTCCTGGATGCTGCATCCATTACAGGAAGAAGATAGATGGGATTTGCAAACTCTCCAGTTCCCAACCCATCAACCCACCACAAAACCCCTCTCATCTTCAATTTAACCCTGTAACTTGCCATCTACTTTGGTGCTTTGCCAGCAGGTTTACACTGAGAAGCAGGTAAGACAGCTAAACATAAAACCATCCCAACAGCTATATGCACTGCAGTTCCCTTTCTCAGCCATCCTTTATCCCAACTATTTGATTACTGCATTTGCTACTCACCAACTTTATAGTGCACACAGCCTTCCAAGTCGCCCACCGTTGTCCAGCCCTGTTTCTTTTCTACTTCAGGATCATTGTGAAGGATTTTATTTCTTAACCACGACAAATAGTAAACTCGCAACTTGTTCTTCTTACCTGACCACAAAATGAAAAAAAAAAGGTTTATCTCCACAGGAAGGTACTTGCAAAAAGCCCTACCCAGGCAAAAACAAAGCTCTGCAAAATAAACCGACAATGAAGGAGAAAATGCTGCAACCACAGAAATCTCCCTCAGTTTTTCATCCACAACAGCTTCACTCCAGACTCCACCCAGACACGCGCTTTCCCAGTTAATCACTGACAGATACACACGGTAGTACCACACAAACATAAATGACAAACTCAAGGGAACAACTCTTCAGCTATCTGGTTCTTAGGACCAAGACAACTTTCACTAGAACAGGGAACTCCCACAACAAAAGCACCAAAGAGTCATGCACTGAGATTAAAAATATATATGTAACTGAGTCAGAATGGCTCTTTTAGACACAAAACTGTAGGAGAGTAGCAGGATGGAATGTGAGACCTGAAACTTCTGCTTGCTAAAAGCTGCTGTCTGCTTTGTCAGCAGCCCTTCCCTTGACCTGCAAGGGTGTAACACTTACCAGACTGCACACAGAAACTGTGAGAGGTGTTTCTTCTCCACAGGTGAAAGAAGCTACCTGCCCAGGCTGCCCTATCTTCAACTGACACCGCATCTGCCACGTCATAAATACAGCTCAGACTTTTAACTCTCAATACAACAAGGCCTCTTAGAATGCAAAGAAATCTTCCTGATAAAGTTTACCACTGATTCTTTAACAATTAATGGCCTACAAAGCATTTGTTGAGCTAGTGAGAAGATGGCCCTAAATGCACATACTCTAAGCTTGCATCCTCCTTTCTCCAGCTGCTTTGCTGCTTGGAACCATTACAGTTCCACAGATTAAGCTGTGAAGGGGATCATCCCTGCTTTGACCAGTAGCAATTTAACAAGGCTCCATGAGGTTTCTTGCAAAGGAAGGGCAACAGAAGGTGCCCTCAGGGACCCTACTTGTCAGCAGAGCAGCTCCAACCAGTGCTGCACCAGCCACAATGAGGAGCCATGTGCCTGATCAGTGTTTCTTAGCCACTGGAGGTGAGAGGGAGACGGGTGACCTGTCCTGCAGTCACTGCTGGGCTGGCCAAGCGACACCGTACTGGTCTGTGCTCCCAAAGACACTACCTATCAAGGTGACACAGCTGGCAGCCTGCCAGCCAGATCCAGCTAAACAGTTCAGCTAAACGTCTTTAATTTGTCATTTAATTTTTCACAGGACACCTACTGACAGATTAGTTCACAGGGGACACTGGTTGCAGCAGCACAAGAGGCCTGAGCACTGAGACCATCCTGCTAAGCACAACCAGCTCCACACTGAGGGGCTGGAGCTGGCATAGGCCCCCTACCCTGATAGCAAGGGATCCCCTAATAGAGCTGGGCTTGTCAGGAAAAGCATCTGCAGGGGCTGGGGCAGCAGTGTGGGAAGCACAGCTTGCAAACAGGCTTCTCCATGGACTCCAGCACTACAAGCCATTGCATTAAAAAGACACACAGTCTAAAAGATCTTTTTATGATTACTTGGATGGGAAAGGACAGGAGGAAAAGAGAAGGCAGTTTCAAAGTAGAAAAATCTGTTCACTAAGCTTAAATTTAAAGTGGATTTGGAGAGGTAATTTCAAATACTTGATCAACTACTCAATTTTAAAAGCCCTTCTGTTCTGATGCCATGCAACGAAATGTGAAGTAACACTGCACTACCTTTTGTTTATCTCCATTACAAATGGGATTATAGATTTGGCAGCAAATGAATACCCTGATTTACTTCCTAACTTAATATTTAGTGAGCTATGTTTCATAAAGGGGTAAAGCCTACCACTCCTGTAGCTTTCTCAAGATCTGGAGGACTAGTTCAGGAAACAGTATTTTCAGAAGTCTCACATGTAACCAAGAAAAGGTCCTTCCATGAAAACACTGCAAATGATAGCCACAAGGGCTCTTTTCAAAACACTGAAAAATAGGAAACATAGTTCAGATCAGAAGCACTGCAGTTCTGGGCAAGAAAGAGCTCAGAGGGCTCAGGGTCTCTACAATGTACCAAATGCTTTCAAAACCATGCTGAGTCCCTACCCACAAGGAGACAAATTCTGCCTCAGATATTTCCATGGTTGTAGGTTCCCCAGTAGCTTAGTCAAACTTTAAGACTCAGAACAAATAGTACACGTGGGAATTTCCCAGCATGTGGCTACTTTTTTCCTTTTGATTCACATGATATGCACCAGGGTATTTCTCTCCAACCAGAAATATTTTTCAAAACAACTGAGAAATATCTCAAGTGTGTTCCCATTGTGTTCTGGTGTCTAGACCACAAGGAAAAGTCACAAGACAGGAAATTCCTCTGCCTTTCTGCAGCCTGACATGAAAAGAGCAGAACCAGTTAGTTATATAAACATGGCTATGCATTTATTTCAACAAGCTGTGCTGCTCTTAATGTTCACATTTGGGAGTGGGGGAGATTAGATCCTTCTCCTTGTAAAGCTCTACCAGTCAAGTTTAAACAGCTCTCAAAATTCTGGCCTTTTTTTACTTTTTGAAGGAATCTAATCTTTATGATCATGAAATAAGAAAGAAAACTCTGCTCCAGCTATCAAATGAACTAATCAGACAGCAAATTCTATGAGAACCCCCAGCTTGGATTCTCCTACAGACATAGTTTCAAATGCAAGTCCTTTTTCCTATATTGAGTTTTTTTGGTTTTATTGTCACTGTGGTTTTTAAATATTAAGCAGGCAGATTCCAACCAGTTCTTCCACTCTGTCATCTCTTCTTACCTTCCTGGTGCCACCATCAGCCAGCTGGGTTGGCAAAACCCTCAGGGAGCCCCAGCTGGAGCATGTTCTGCATGCACGTTGCCACTCTCTCCTCCAGCATTTTTATGACTCTGCACAATATCACCTGAGCAGATGAAACTATGTTTTTTGCCTCTCAACAGCATGAACTGAAGCACCAATCAACTACTCTGGCTTTACCTGCAAGGCTTTCTTGTACTGTTTCTAGGCTCAGTATCTCAGTATCAAAAGCATTGTTGTCAGAAAGTTCTGTATTTCAAATATAAATTGGGCCAAGAACTGATTTCATGTTTTCAGACTCAAGTGTCTATTAAAAGCAGGTTTAGGTGACAATCCTCTCAACATCCTAACACACTGCAACTTCTTCGCACAATGCAGTGACACCTTTCAAACCCTACCACCACCAGCACATCACTTTCCAAAATCTCAGGGGAACATAGGGCTGATTGCACCACAGTGAGCTGAACAATGCTTCCAGTGAAGCTGCAGCAGTGCTGGGACAAAGCTCGGAGACAGTTCCATCACTATTCTGCCAAAACACACCATTTGCAGAAACATACCCTCATCTCCAGCATTACAATTTTGACTGGAGAGGTGAAGCAATGCATCACAAATAAAAAGATATTTAAGTTAAGTCCAGCATGAGGGTAAAGAACTGAGATGTGCGGCTCAGAAGACAAAAGCAGGATATAAGGGGAAGTTTGGGCATAACACTGTTATGGTTCCCCTGAATATGATCCCCCAACCCTACCTTTTGCCAGGCAAGGATGCCTCTTCTGCCTCATACCCCAGTAACCTCCCATAAAACACAGGTGATGGCACAGACACAAAGGCATAAAACAACCAAAGATCAGCTGATTTCTTAAGGGTTAATGTAGCGTGTCTCCACAGAGGAAGTAATAGTTTTAAAGGAAACAAAGAAAACGGATGTGTCAGGGTATTCCAATTGTGACTGACGCAAAAATAAATAAATTTAAAACAATTATACACAAGACTGAATCACAGACACTTGTGATTTGTCTATGGAATGTTTCAAACCAACAGATTTTACACAAGTTAGATTATACAATATTTTGTTTACAAGGTCTGCTATAGAATAAACTATATCAAATAGTGCCTTTCAAGCAGCTTATATTTTAACATACTGCATTAGACATCAAAAGGACACACAGCAGGTTGTGTATTTTTAAACGCTGCTTGATTCATCTTTCTCTTTTTATAGATTTCACAGCATAGCTGTATCTGAGCATGCAGCAAGTGACAAGCCAATAAAATTCAGTTGTTCCAGACAGAAACAAATCCCGTGTTGATGACAGCAGCATGGGCATGGTTCTTCAGATCTGGGTTAACACAACATTGCTAATGCACTATATTCCACTGAATTGTCTAATGTGTGTCCTTTTGAACAAGTGTTGGGAGAGCCAGAGAGCTCCTCCAGCACACTTAGAGAGGTTCCTGAGCCTTGAAAAAATTTAGGTGGGTCTGAACAACAACAGTGAATCCTGTGAGAAACCTCATGTAACATCCTTTCCCAGTCACACACACACAGCATAGCAAAGGCTGATTTCCCAAACCAAACAAAACAAAAGGCAAATGGCTGAACAACACCTGTGAGGACAGACCAACAATGCACCACATCAAATTGTCCAACAGCAGGTTAAACTTATGCCATAACTTTCTGGAGCCAAAGAGTCTGGAACCTCAAGCTTCATAAAACACATTTTTCATCAGCACACACAAAACAAACACAAGCATCACCACCACCCTTCATCTCCCATTGCTTTGCCATTCCCAAGTTGCAGCCAGTGAGAGACCAGGCACCAATCTGCCTTGTCACTCTGGTTATTTCCACACCACGTACACACTGTACTCCTCACTCTCACACTTTTACTGCACATCACTCTTACTTCCCTATTTTGCAAGAGCTTTCCCCATTCTACAGATTTTAACACAGAAGAAAAACGTCCTTAAACCCAAGGAGCATGTAGTGATGTAGTTAGAAAGAGACTAGGTAGAAAGTAATCATGACAGAGGGAAAAAATGCTATTTCCCCAAACTGCACAAAACATTAACTTCCAGCTCTCAAATACTGAACAAGGAAACAAAATCAGATGTTTCTCACAAATTCATGCAGCATTTTTAAAGGTCACCCCACAGAAGGAAGGACAGGGAGCAAGCAGGAATGGGTGTTGTGTGGAAAACAATTCACTTGCAGAAATAAACTGTAGACTCAGAGATGAAATGATGGAAAACCCACTGATTCAGTCAGGACTTCCCCCTCAAAGCACAGGCTGCCAAGAAAATCTTTTTGCCATACTATGCCACATGGAGGCAAAAATATAACATTCAACAGTTAACCTTACCAGAAATTGTCACCAAGACATTCAGCCCTTCAAGTACATCCATTTGCTGGAATCGTCTTCGATTGATGAGTGGATAAACCTTCCCCTGCCCACTTCTGTCTAGCAGCATCAGACCACTTTCAGTGCCCACCAACAAGTTCACTCCTAGAAAAATAAAAGCAGAGATCCAAATTAGTCAGCACTTTTTCTCACATATTCTGAGGAACTGATGATTGATACAGCAACCGTCTTGTTTCAAGCAGGTCCAACCACTGCTGATGGGGTCTCCATTGCCTGTAGCCTAAAAGATCTCCTGATGTAGAGGCTCTCTACACTACCTGCCCACAGTGACTACTGACACCAAACAGCATGGCAGAGCACAGAGAGCTTTCTAGAGCACCAGTTCCCAAAAAAAGGGCATGCTAAGTGTTGGAAGGAGGGGTGAGGCACAAAGTGGTATGCAAGCCTATGCATTCCAAAGATGTGTTAGCTGTAGTTAGGGGGGTGGTAGCAGTGTGCTCTTGACAGGGACATGGCAATAAAAACAGTTCCCACTGGGAGAAACAGGTTGTGCTGCAGCCCTTCCACAAAAAGGTAGGCATTGGGTTTGTTCCCAGTTTCACAACAATCTTTTCCATCTGAATGTTAAAACTAGAGGAACTACAGTAATCTTGTGTTTCCACAGGCTTCTCCTAAAGATCAAGCAAATATAGATGAGAAAAGTCAGTAGGCCAGTTTCTTTACACAAAGGTCCAAAAGTCCACTGGAAAACTGCCAGAGTCCATAAAACCTTACTATTTAGAATCAATTACATTTTTAATATAATAGATATATATACGGGACTATGTTTTAAATATCTGTTAATATATTATCATTCTTAAATTTCAGAACTATTTATTTGCAATAGTGTTTAAGTCCAGAAGCTCACAAATTTTGCAGTTCAAGTACAGTACAGGAAATGGAAATCACATCAAATGTATGACTCACTTTATTAGACTTCCATGTTGCAATCCCAATATAAAAATTGCCATGCTTTAGCACAATAAAAGAATGAAGTAAGAAAAGCAAAACTCACGCAAGATTATCAGAGTTACACTGCTTAATGGTCTTAATCCCTAGTCAGACAATTAACCCCCACATACAATTGGTGCCAGTGGGCCATCTGGGCTGAGCCCATAATGAACCTTTTCTGACAGAGCAGGTGGGCCCAGGGCCCAAGTGGGTGTGTCTCAGTGCAGTCTGCACCTACAGCAGCAATGTGCCTTCTCAGAGTACTGAAAAAGGGCATTATTGCTCACCTAAACACCCCCTTGGATACCAGCCATGGGAGAGGCTTGCAGAAAAGAGGGCACATTAAGCCTGACCCAGGGGGCACAAGGAGTCTCTTAAAGGGGGGAGGGTGTTAGGAGGAAGCAGTAATGATGGGGAGGGGGCTGAGCTGCTGGTCCTGGAGCACTCTTAAAAGGCTCTGGGTGGATAAGAAAAACAGATGTAGCCTATAGTGAGTTTAGAAATCATCATGCATCTCTCCATTATCCTCTCTCTACCCTTTTCAGTAAGAAAACTTCAGAGGTCCCAGCAGTCTCAAGGCATCTTTGCTTAGATTTGCTGTTCTGCTACTTTCTCCTGGGAAGCCTATCACCCTCCAGGTTCTCCTTCAGCTGCTGACACTTCCCTTCATCCCTGTGCTGCCCACATCTCACCTCTGCATCTCCCACATGGTTTGCACCCACTGGATCCCCCCCCACAGCCCCCTTGGGCAATGGCCATTTCACCCAAGAGTACTTCACACAGCCTGTCCCTGTTACTGGGAGACACCCTCAGATTGGGAATGGCAGAAGGAAGCAGGGAGAGCTCATGCTAAGCAGAAGTCAGTGCTTAGCACAGGCTGAAGCAGCACCAAACCAGCCAAGGAAGTGCCCAGCAGCTGGTCCCCTTCCTGCAGCTCCAGTACCCACTGACTAAAGCTGTGAGCTTCAACATGCATTTCTGCACCTTTTCCAGGGTGGGTACAATTCAAAGCAAGGCACATGCAAACTGCCCCCTCAGGGTCCCTTCCCCTCTTTGTACATCAGGACTCCATTGCTCCTGCCTCCACCCTCTCCTGCCTTCCTGGTGCAGTTGTTCCTGCTTTGAGCTCTCATGCACACCTGTGCCCAACCCCTTCCCTCAGCTATGTGCACTTTAGATGAAACTAATGAGGCACTATGTTGGTGGCAAGCAGGGCTTGTATTTTACAGCACAGACACCTCCTCACTCACAGACAGCAGAGCTCTTCTACCGCCACCCTACAATTAAGCAGTTCTGATTTTTTTCAAACAAATGGAAATGCTTCATGAAAAAGTACAGGCTGTCTGTGGAGGCTGGGTATAAGAATCTGTGTTACTGCATCCATGTAATTAACACTGACTCTCACCACTCACAGCCAGAAGAAACAGCATCAGAGACCTAATGCAATTAGCAGCTTGCCAGATACTACTGGCATTACTACTGGTAAAGGCAAACCAAAGCAAAGCAAGTTCCCCTCTTTTTGAATAGAAAGCATCACCATGAAATGGTTTCATTTTCTTAAGGGTGAAGGAAGTTTAACATTATCAAGAAGTAAGCATGTGTACCAACTTGTATCACCATCAGTTTGGCCCTAAATGTTCAATGAAGGGCTGTGTTACAGCTGTAAAACACCTCTAGGATTTTACACCTATTCTTTAAACCACCCTAACAGACAGATATATAGATCAAAGAAATATAAAACCATTAACAAGAATTGCTACCGGCAAAACAAGGAAGATCAGAGAAACTATGAGTCATCTTTACTGACACCATATGATTTCTCTCTGTCTTTGGCCTCTCACAGCCTGAAAGTTTACATCTGCAGAAGTCTTAACTTTATCAGAAAATGTTACACAGGAATTCAAGCAAAAATAATGTTGAGGCAAAAATTCTTACCAGTAAATTCTGGAAATAAAGAAAACAGCAGATAGGAAGATAAGGTGTTGGGAGAGCTATTTCACTGACACAGCTTTGCAGGAAAGAAGATTGGGACAAAAGTGCTGTTCTGAGAAACAGGAAATGCTGGACATAACCCCAAAAGAGAACGAAAGCCTTGGAAAGAGCTATAAAAAAGTAAAAAAGAGAGGGGACTATGTTGCCTTTATAGTAATCATATAACTTAGGGCAATGGCCAATTCTCTTCTTCCTAAGCTTCTTTAATGACCTGCATGTGCATTTATAATCTGCCAAGTTTAGGGATATTAGATAAGTATGCATGTAACATACACAAGCATCAACTACTAATATTCAGATAATGAAAACATTAATTCACAGATTCTGGCCAGGAAACCAACAAAACAGAAAAGCCTTCACTAGGGGTTGGAGCAGAGATTCTACACTGTAGCAGGCAACAGGTACTGCTTGAAGCCTGACTGTGGGATCCTGACTGTCTGACACCAACACAAATTATCCCTAGTGACAAGAAGACCAGACAGACTTGGTCAGCTGACATCTCATACCCAGCTGCTCTCTGCAGTAATCACTCTTAACAAAGCTAAGTCTGAGAATGGGAAATGTTCCTCTATCCTTTTCCATCTTACTTCCTACATAAACTGATGACTGAGGCAACAAGTCATCTTACAGAACACACCTTAATCAAGCCCTGCAACAATACATTAGCAAGAGCCTCAAGAAGATTGTAATTTTTCAAAAGAATACCCTGTGTGCACCAGGTGTACCGTGCAAGGCTCCCAAAAGCTGCAAGAGACACACTAGCAGGGTTTAGAAAGGGCTGAAAAGACCATCCTGATGAACTGCATGAAGCCTCTCCCAGACAACCTGTGACAGGAAAAGAGGACACAGCCTCAAGCTATGCCAGGACAAGCTCAGGTTGGACACCTGGAAGAACTTTTTCACTGAAAGTATGGTTAAGCATTGGAACAGGCTACCCACATAGGTGATAAGAGCCATCATCCCTGCAAGAGTCCAAGATATGACTGGATGCAACACACATGGTCTAGCTGACCCGGTGGTGTTAAGTCCAAGGCTGGACTTGATGATCCCAGAGGTCTTTTCCAACCTTAATGATTCTATGATTCTCAGTCTAAACTGTGCCAACAGAAGCATATATGTACCAGTGGGAAATTATAACAAAGCAGAAGCAACATACTGTAAAAAACACAATAATAATCAGGTCTTGCAACAGAAAAGATGTAAACAAGCACTGAATAAAGCAGAGAAACAGCTACAGTTTTGGAGATACACTATCAGAGGCTGAAAGCTCCTACTGGCACATCTACATTTCAGGAATGGCAAGGGAAGAACACGTTTGCATTACCCCATAAGGCCGCACACAGAATCTCAGAATTGAATCTCTTCTTGTATTTGCGAATCTCTGGTGTGTCACTCTGTGGCCGTGTGTTTGTGGGGTTCACATTGACAACTGATCCTTTCCGTGTAGGGTCTTGCCTTATTGCCTCTGATCTCATTGCTTCACTAGAAAATCCTACTGAAAGAAAAAAAAAAGTAACGTGCATGTAATACCCTTCAAGTGCTAGATTCTGGACATATATTTTTTACATCATACAAACCAAATCAGTAACTGAGAACACTGAGAGAGTCCCAATTTTTGTAAGAAATGTAAATGGAAAAAGAAAATAAATTATGCAATCCATTGCAAAACAAATAAAAAGCATGATGGTAACATTCTTAAGTACTTTAAAGAGCCACTGAAGTCACTGAACCCTTTTTTAATTGTTGTCTTCAGCTACTTTACTTACCCACAGAAGTCACAGTTGTCCCACTAGATGGAGAAATCTGTAGTAATCTGGGGTCTATAAAAGGTGTAAAGGAGGAGGAAGATTTGTGTTTCTGGAGTGTGTTACTAGCGGACTGAGTCTGCAATGTAAATTTCAACTTTATTAATATTAATGACAATAAAAAGCATGGATAACAAACACCAACATTTTAACGTCACTATGGAATTATGCTACGAGCCTCCCCAAGCTTTTATACTTCCTTTACAGAAACACAATGCACTGCAGGCACCACACCTGAGCTAGATACATATGCACACTGCACATGTTACAGCAAAATGCAATTAGCTGAATTGTCATCCCTGAACCTCAGCTGCTCACAAAGCTTTTTAGTACAGACCACTACAATCAGGCACAAAGCGAGGGAATGTCTCTCCTTTTGAAAATCTGCTTAAATGTATGTATATTATTTTATCTGCAAGCTGCCCACTACCTACAATTTTTGAATTTATGAAGCATCTCCTGAATTGAAGTAGTTAATTAAATTATGAAGTTTGATCTCTTGGCTTGTGCAACAAAATCAGAACCATCTGGGATCAAGCATTCACTTCTATGATGGACTATGTTTCAGTGTTTGCTACTCTTCATTCTCCCTATTTTGTTTAACCTGCGCCTCTTGCCAGAAAGCTGCAGCAGATTCTTCCACCTTTATTTGACAAAGCAACATATTAAACCTGTATTGAACAAAGGGGCTCATTAGTGTGGAAGGTGTAGCAAACAGTGACATGACACTATGAATATGTAGTGGATAAAATCACTGGTGCTTGTTGAGTTATGAGGTCTAAACATGAAAAAACAAAGAAAGAGAGACGAGTGAAACAATGAACAGTTAAAAGTGGAAATGGAACAACTTAAAAACCCTTGCCAGTTTAGTATTATAGTGACAACATATCATACTGAAGCAGAATGGGACGAGTGGAAAAAAAAAGAATGTGTATATATATATATATGTAGTGTGCATGTGCTAAGTTATACCAAGCAGTACTGGGTTTTTGCTCAGTTTTATGCAAACGTTACAAGACACTTCTTTAGCATCAACTAATCCTCAACCTCTGATCTTCCTAAGCCTCTACAGAAAAAAATAGCAATGGGTCTTTGGAGTTTATCCCTGCCCTGAACAGCCCAACACCAAAAGGCTCCTTTATCACCAGGCACTGCCACAGCCCCCACTTCCCAAGCTGAGTTAACTGAGCCCTGCTTACGTATTGCTTAGACCAATGAGCAAGCGTACCTCTGGATCAATCAACTGATCTCTATAACCCACAAGAGTGTGCTTTTAGAAAGATCAAAAAACAGTGAAGCACAGCTGGAAATTATGTATAAAGCTAAATGAATTTCCAGGAGGAAAGTCTCCCTCCCACCCACCTGGTATGTGGTTAAGAAGCATTTTTGATTATCTGGTAAATATGTGCATTGCCATAAACCTACCCAGCTCACTGCAACCTCTCCTCATCACAACACTTGCACACCACCATGGCAGGACTCTACCCTGAGAAGCAGCAGGCTCTTTTCAGAAATTTTGCTTGCCGTGTACCACAGGCAGAGCCTGTCAGAGGCTCTCAATGTAAGCCAGGCTGGCCACACAGCCAGGAGTGGCGAGCCCAGACAAGGCTCCTTGCTCACTGCTGGGGTTGGTGAGGGGTGAACAGCCCTTTGCTCATCCACACCCGTGCACCTCCTCTGCTGCCAGGGGCTAACACACGTGAAGGACCAGGCTTTCCCACCTGCATTCCATAAAGGAAGGCACCATCCTGAGATCAGCCCAGGACAGCAAGAGGGAGCTTCCCTCATGGTAAAGCCTTCATCACCTGGACATAACCAGCACTGGTTGATAACAGTCATCTTTACACAGCTGCTTCTCAGAGTACACACATACTTGGAAAAAACCCCAAATATTTTCTCCCATTCATTTTTCCAAAATCACAATACCTCAGGCTTTTACAACCCTCCCAGGCAACACCTGATTTGTTCACCCAGCCCACATGGCAAGCTTTAGTGAGCAAAATCCCTCCACAGCCACTTCCTCTCCCATTGGGTGAGTTTCAACAAGCAGCTCTTCATATGTGTGGAGAAACTAGTCCAGCCTTTACTGACAAAGCCAAAATTAACTGCTAATTCTGAAGGGCACATTACTTGCAATTAGCCTGCTCCCAGAATAAAACAGAATTAAAAAGAGTATTGGCTTGAAAACGCAGTAGTCAAGTTTAGTTTAAAATGAACGCCATGCAATTAATGACTCACTAAAAGGAAGCAAAAATAGTAAACTGGCAAGTTTGGCGTGGGACTGCTCTAGAGTTAAGGGCTTCTTACACAGAACTGAAATGTGTTATTTGGGAGGTGGGAACAAAGGTGACAGAAAAAAAAAGCAGGGGAGATTGGCTGGAGTTCCTTTGCAAACTAGCTACTAGGCAATGCTGCTATAACCCTATGAAAGCAGCCAGCTGTGGTGTAAGACATACCTCATTAGTAGTTAGCTTGTCCTGGGGTGTCTGTGGGGACATGGTGGGTGTCGGCTGGCTGGAGGATGGGGAGGAGGAGGTGGAGGAAGTGGAGGAGGAATGGCTTTGCTGTAAGAGATCTGGCAAGAGGTGAATGCGACCGGCAAAGCCATTGCTCTCATGATGGCTGGCACGCTTTTTGTCAACTGTACTCTGTAGAAAAAACAGGCACACTTGTCTTGCTCAAGTGCTGCTTAAAAGTCTATATCCCTAACAACCTCTCTCCTTCTCTCCCTCACTTCCTACCTTTTCACATTTTTTCTTTTTTTTTTTTTAATAAGCTTATAATCCATGCTTTGATGCCTGCATGGAAAGGGAAAGTGGGCAGAGCGACTAGAATTCATGAAATTCCCACCAGCAGGCAAATGCTTGGTTCATGTGGTTGACTTGCACAGCCAGTTCCACCAATTAAGAGAACAGTAACTGTGCTGCTAAGTCCAGCACCACAACAGGGACAAGCACATTTTTGGGGGTGGGGTGAGGATTTTGTTCCCTATTGTTTTGTTTAAAACTAACTTAGACCCTATACAGATAGCAGTTTGGACTTTCTGGAGAATCCCTTCAGCTAACTATTTAAAACAATAACCATGAAATCTTAATTTTCAAACAAGAGGACTCAATTAAGAAATTGGCATTCAGTTGTGAAACTCAGAAATGCGATTACTGAGGAAACTCCTATAAGCTAGCACGCTCATTAACACACAAGCTCATTTAAAAACAGGGAATCATTATGTTTCAGAGGCACAAGAACGCAATATTTTCAGAATCAAAGGCAACAACACAGCACTCTACTCTGTCCACATTCTCTGCCTCACCACCTATTTTGCTTCTCCCTCACACCAGCTGTTGCGTGAATCTGCATGTACATGTGTATGTATGTTATCTGGGTGGTCTGTATGCCCTAAACTACACAATCAAAACAATTTTTAAAAACCTTGAGTGCTCCCACCCCAGCTCCCTCCCAGCCTCACTCCTGAGACACGTATTTGGTTCTGTGCTAAGTTTTTGCTCCAGGTACTTGCTCCACACACCTGCAGCTTTTCTACCCTTCTCTCCCACAGACTGAGATATTCTACATGGTGCTGCCATGAGTGTCACTGGAAAGCATGCAAAACAGAAGCAAGGGGTGAAGGGCTACTCTCCTCTTTGCATGCATCAAACATCTTGCTCATCTGAAATTCTCTACAGCTGCGTCTTGATAATACGAACAACAAATATAATGTAGAAACAGCATGGGTGAATGAGCGAGTGGGTTAATGAGCACAGAAAGGATGCAGCACTGCACAGGGAAGGAAAAGCAATACCTGTCGAACAATTAAGGTGCCCTCCTTAGAAGGAGTCAAGGCAGGTTCACTCTCCACATCATCATGGACAATCATGGTTTTTACTGACTCTGTTTCACCATTGCTCAAGTTCAACGTTGACCTATTTGTCAGACAAGAAATAACTGGAGTGAGATAACAGCACTAGTGCCCTGGCTGTCACTGCCCTGCATCATGGCATACTCAGAATTAAATTGTACTGTGGCCAGAGTTGAATATTTACATAAGCTGCCTAGAAAAGCCTCTCTCTATAAAAAAAAAAAAACAACCCGCAAGTTTCCTGTTTTGTAACAAATGAAGGGAGAAGAGGAAAAGGACATTGGCAAGACTATCCTTAGTGTTTGAATATATGAACATATGAGGCTGCTATGTCTTGCTCACAGATTGTAGCAAACTGAAAGAACTAACATACAAGCCAAAATGCTAGCATCCTTTTCCTTCAACCCTCTATAAGGCAAAAGAGAAGCAAAACACTGTTAGAGGGACTAACACTGCTCGGACATCATCTGGTCCAGAAGTAGATTCATCCGCTCCTTCTTGTTCCATATCATCATCTTCCTCATCTGTTGTCCCTGACTCCTCACTTGAGGATGAGTAATCTGTTACTTTATGTGGAGGTCGCACATCCTCTACTGCTCGCAACTCCTTCGCCAATGCAGTTAAATCCTGTTGGGAGAGGGAAGAAAAAAATGTTAAAACTGATGTTGCAAGTAAAAGAGAAGAAGAGTTTGCAAGACAAACCTGCAGGATTAGTGCCCGAGTTTGTTCACTTCTGTGTTTCCACTGCCCCAGCAGTACTGTTTCCTCTGACTTACTCATTCCTAACAGTTACCAAAACTCACTTTCTCATAAACTCAAGCACCAGAAGAGTCAACCTAAGGGGGTCTTGTCACATCATAGAAAAATGTGCATACTCTGAAACCCAACTATCCTGATTTATGACTAACTGCAGTATCATAAGAGATATGGCTACTGAAGAAAGTTTCAAGGAAAGATAGAAATACTGTGAAAACCCATTGAGTTCCCCAAGTTACAACGAGACACAGGCTGTAACCAACTGTAATAGCAGCCAGATGTAGAAAATGTCAGAAATCTTTCACAGAAAGTAGGAAACATTTAAGGTCTTACCACTTCTCCCTGCACCATTCAGCCCAGCATTGGCACATTCAGGTCAAATGCACGATCATTGGTCCAGCCCCAGGGAGGAAGCACAAGATTGAAAGAGAGAAAGGCATGGATTAGAAGGAAGAAGACCAAAGAGCAGAAATCAATCCCAGAAGCAGTGCAAAATCTAACATCTGCAGTACTGATGCACACAGGCAATTGCACAGCCCAGAACATGCTGCTAGACCCACAGTTACAAACTCTAGCTGATGTTCAACCCTGATGGCACTGAATGAAGCTCTCAGTGTATTTTTTGTGAATCTACCTGAAAGAGAAGGAGGACAGGGGAGGTGGATGCAACTCACAGCAGGCTTGATAGGTCTGAAGACTTCCTTTTTCTCTTCAGGCTTTTTAGGTGCACTTTCATGGCGCTGTGATGGCGAACCCTCTGATTTGGATGATGCTGCACGTGCCAAGACCCCAAAAGGAACACAGAACAAAGGAGATTAAGCAGGGAGCTAAAATATGTTCTCTTACTTCACTCTGGAGTGGGGAAGAGATGTGAGATGACTATTGGGGGTGTCTGACCACAAGACCTATGTTTCACTGGTTTACATTGTCCCTGAAGAACTATACAAAAAACACCATAAGCTGTGATTTGCATAGGTGCAACTGACCTATGTCTGAAGCCAAAGTAAACAGTCACAACAACTGTAAATCAAAGACCCAAGTGCAGCCACAAGCTGGAAAATCTCCATCATCATCCAACACAGCCCAGCTGAGACCTATCCATAGCAGTCTGCACCCTGTCAACAACCACCAAGGTGATGGGCAACAAGTATCAAAATGTGCTCTTGCACACAAGAGGAAGGGAGGGAGCTGTGAGGGCCTGGAGACCAGGCTGTTTGCACATAGGAAAGTGCAGCAGTGCCTGGATGTGAATTCAAGAACAATGAAACAAACATTTTGACAACGATTTCTGTGCCTGCTGCCTTTCCCAAGCAAGGACATATGGCCAAGAGGGTACAGGAAGCCAACCCGTCTCTGACACTGCATGCTCAAAGGTTGTTCCCTGTTATCATCTGTAATTACTGAGCGCTTCACAGCTTAATAAAATTAGAAACACAGTGTTACAGAGGGTAGGAGAAGGACTTACATCTCATCCTGAACCGCTCTCCAGACCCGCTCTGAGAGCCAGGGTGGGAGCCAGGCTGTGAGCCAGAGTTGCTTGAGCCAGAAGAACTGCCACTGCCTGGCCTTGGTACAAGCTTCTCCACCCTTTCCCACAGCAGACGAGGCTCTATATTGCTGTATCATGGGAGGAAAGAAACTCTTTGTCACATACACTTCAGTCCCAGATTCCCAGCTCTAAAATGAAACATCACTCTCTCTAATAGTTTTGCTAATAACTCTTATAGTTTTGCTAATAACTCAACTGAAAGAACACTTTAATGCTGAGATCAGGGCATCAGTAATGCTTCACAACCCAGGCAGCAGCTCCCTTTGAAATAACTACTACTGTATTTATGATGGTCAAAAAAAAGTTTAGGTGGGTATAAGCTACTCCTTTTATTTAGAATTATCTACCTGCCATTCTTATGTACATAACCTGAAGTGGACAATTCTCGCAGCCTGCATGCAGCAATTTCAAAGAAGTGTCAGAAGTGTCTAGGCACTAAACACAAACCAAAAAGAACACAAGAATACCCTCACCCCTATCCAGTGAGCTAATTCCATGGTGTCCTGCCCATGTTGCTGTGTTGAGCTCAGGAGTCAGCTCTCTCCTCCCCCTTCCTGACCTTGGGGGCTCTGTGTCACAGCTCATGGAGGCTTTTCCCCCCTCTTAAAATCTGGTTCTGGCTAAGAGGCCAGAAAGTTTCTGAGGTTTCTTCACTTTAGATGTTACAAGCCCTTCTGCTGCCAGTAATCCCCATGGTATACCCAAGCTGACCTGTTGCACCAAAAGGCAAGACATTCATAAATGGCCACATTTGTTCCGAAATTTGAAGGATATTTGAAATTATTGCCAAAATTACAGGGCAGGCAACTCAAATGAGAAGAGGAAAGAAGAAACTTTGTCAGCATTTGTTGACACAGGTGCCACATCAATAGAAATTAATCATTACTGAAAAGGGATCCAACACTATCTTCCTTTCACACCCTACAGGCACTGCCAAAAGCTGTCTGGCAATGCCTGGCCTGCCATATGCCTTTTCCTTCCAATTCAAGAAAAGCAAGGACACATAGGCTTACAAACCTCGTGGAATTCCTTTGACCTGCTTGGTTATTTTGCTGCCCACTGCCCTGCAGTGGGGAATCACGGCGGGACAGGACTGGTGATCGGGACGTTGTTCTCACAGGTACCTTGGGAGAAAAAAGGTTGTGTTAAGCCCATGAAGAGGACGGAGAGGACAGGAAGATAAAACTTCTCCTGCCACAGAATATAATCTTAAGATCTTAACAATGTGTTCTAAGTACAAGCTAGCATCAATGACCAAAAGCAGTAAACAAACACCCACAAAGCCAAAAGCCTTAGCTGTGATGCTGTTCAGAATTTGAATAGAACTCGATGTTTAGTCTTAACATTAAATAGCGTTTAATGGTTATCACATGAACACGTACACGCCCCGCTACCCTCCCAACTACTGAGACATTTGAAAAGAATATGGCATTTTGACTGAAGCAGGGGAGGCACAAAGCAATTTGCTGAAACAGCATGAGAATTAGGAGAATAAGCTCAAGGGAACCAAACAAATGCCCGGGAATGGATCAGCAGAAGGCAAAGACTGGTGGGGGGGGAGCAAGAATATACTCAGAAGAAGCAAATCCCAGTGGATGGGAGGGGGGATGGAAGGGGGAGAGGAGGAGGAAATATATTGAATGTTTCCTTTTTGTTCAGATCCATCTCAATTTTAAATAAGTGTATGATTCATAGTTTGGGTTGCGAACCGATGAAGAGGAATATTAACTCTGAGCAATAACCTCAGGGGTATTTTGAATTCTTTCCTGAATATGGTAATTATTTGTTAACTTTGCATAATAAATTGTTTCTCTGAAATAGCTGCATTCTATAAATAATTACCAATTTTATATGAAGCTTCAATATTGTACTTCAGGTTGATTATCATTAACCCATTGACTGAATACCTACATTATGATCTGCCTTCCAAAATACTGTTACCAGTGCTGGCACAAGGGCATGGTCTTCCCAGTGCCCAGGGTATCACATCCTTAAGAAAACTGTAATTAATAATAAAAAAACAGCACACATCTGTCTTTCTACTCCTTACCCTTGGAGGCACCTCGTCACTGTCTGATCTAGCCCAAGCCTTTTGGGTGGGGTCGGGTACCTCCGACTTAGAGTCAGAACTCTGATTAAGCACTTCACTGCGTGAAGGTGGATATGGGTCCTGGGAACGAAGATGGTGATGAGCAAATTTGGGAGAAGGGTCACTGAAGGAATGGGATCGCGAGACAGGGGAAACATTGTTCTTGAGAGATGCCAGATGGGACCACTGTACCTTACAAGAAAACAAAACATAAAACATTCAATGCGCTCAGTATAACCAGCTTTCCAATTAACACAGAATAAAGGCAGGTGGGGCAGGCAGAGACAAATTGGTTATGGCATTAGGTAAGCGTGGGGTGGAATCGATGCACTTAAAAGCAAGGCAAGCGCCCAGAGAACATAACAGACTGAAAATACAGCACATATGCAATTTTTGTGTGATGCGCTCTCCACACACACGTACACTGGTGCCCAGAGGGAAAGGGGATCCAATATCTGCACCATGAGCCTGAGTACAAAGGCCACTCAAGACAGAAGTCACCTTCTGTTCCCTGGTCTTCAGTGGGCTTTGGCCAGGTCTCATGGTGGGCTGGGAAATTTGAAGCAGACATCCAATTGGAGCAATGTACAAAATTAAAGAATGCTGTAAATTGGGTAAACCAACAGACATTTACGTCTCCTAACGAATTCAGGGACTGGATACAGCTTGAAACTTTTGGAGAAAGACCATAACACAAAGCCTTTATTCCTTTACAGTTATTGCAATATATATATAAAAAAACATAATATATATTGTATATAGTATACATATGTACAATGCATATTATACTTACACCATATATGTACCGTATACTGTACATATATACATATTTAGACACAAAGTACACACACACACATGCACACATATTCAATTACACATACTAAGAAGGCATAACAGAGACTAAGGAGTTAAAACTCCACTAGGATTTCCAGTGAAATCCATATTCCCTTCAGTCTACTTCCTCGTTGTGCATAAGCCTGTGTTTCAGAGTTAATTTCTGAAACTAAGGAGGAGGCAAAGTCATAACTGAGGAACACGCTGTTTTCACACCTAATGATTAAGCAAAACTTTGCTTTAGATCCCAGTTTCAGTAGGCTGAGTGTATTTGTTTTTGTGTTATTATTATTTCCTCAATTTTAATACACACAGCTGTTGAAGAGCCTGATTATCCTTAATATGAGTGAAAGACAGAGACTTTAAAAGAAACTGGCACAGTGGATGAAGATACAAGTCCAATATTTTGAAATAGTCATAGAGGTTTGAATAAAAGCCAGGAAATAATGAGCAAGAGATGAACTTCTGTCCTGATTTCTCCCACTCTTCCGTCTGTTCAAATTCTCCTGCTGTCCAAAAGAGTGGCAATACCTAGTCACAATCAGGGATGGTTTTAACTTGCACTGTCATCAACAGACTTTATGAAAATTCTGCATGGAAACAGAGGAACTAAATGCAGAAATCTACTATTTAATTTAGCATACCTAAACTGCTCAGAATTCATGGGCTATGTCTAACTTTTAGACAAAGGTTACTTTTTCAATTCATGCAATAACTCCTATGAGATCAGGTCTCAAGATCAGGAGGCTCTTGGTTACAAAACAATAGAACAATGGCTACCATGCAACTCAGTGGTTTCAACATCTTCTTGATTTTCCAGGGGTGGTACAGAGCTTTATTTAGCAACTGCAGACCTACTGACAACAAACTTGGCTTTTCTTAGACATGTTTTACAAACTCTTTGAAACAGTGCTCACACTGTTAAAACCCACTTGTTTATTTAGCTTTTTTCTGAATTTTAAAAACCAAGCAAGTGCACTTTTTTCCTGAGCATCCTTTTTAGTAGTAAAAATGTTGCACAGAGCAAATTTGGAATTGCAAAATGCTCTGCAACGGCCACCAGCATTTAACTCACTGTCACTGCTGCACAGATAATAATGGGATGGGATACAACAGTTCTAGTCTAGCTCTAATATGAAAAAAACCCAAACCAATAAAACATACCAAACCCACAAATCCATCAGTTTATCAATAAAATAAGCAAAAATAGACAAAGAGTACATCTACAGAATAAGCTGTTAAGTGTAATAGTACTACCCTTTACAAAAGGCTTTTTAAGTGCAAAGATCTGCAAATTTGAAGGAAACATGTTAGGACTTCTGCATTCCCTGTAGGCTCACCAAGATTGTGCTGGGCACTTACCTGGGGCTCCATTGGCCTCTGCAGGGCAGGCTGAGCAGGTTCTGAGTTTCCATTGGAAAAGGACTCTGATCTTGAAGGCACTGGTGGCTCCAACACTTTGCCCATCTGTTTAGACTGTGCTTCAGGGGAGCCCTGATTAGTTTTTCTAAATCTCTCCTCCACCTAAGCCAAAATAAATGGAGGTTAAGCCTTGAGTCAGTAAAACCAATTACAGTAGAAATATAAAGGGGTGTACCACCTTTTCTTTACCACAAAGAAAGCAAATACATTTGGGGTTTGGCAGGATTTTTTCCCTACCAATTTTGCCAGCACTGTAAGTTCACTGAGTGAACTACACCAAAGCTCTAAGTATGCCAATATGGATAATCCATACTAGGAAGAGAGGAGATACAAGAGGTAGCAAGATGTGAGATAATATGATGAAAGACCATTATGGGCCTTCTTTCTGCCTAGACTAATTATCCATCAGTATTTTCCTCACAGATAATAAAAAGGATATACCTAAACAGAAACAACTTTACAGTATAAAAGTATTTTCTACTGCCATCCTTTACTTTAGCTGCCCACTTTATGCAAACAATGGTATTGGATTATCTGCTTTCCTGTGCGTCTCTCTTCAGCAACAGAAGAGACAGGAGATGTTTCTCTACCAGGTGATACTGGAGTCTCTTCAGCTTTAGGCATGAAAGTGTAGAACTTATCATCATCTCTCATATCAAATACTCTCAACACAAACTCAAAGGCTGTAGAGGACAGTCCCATCAGTTTGTTTCCTGTTCTCAGGAAGGTGTAGAATTGATCTTATGTTAACCTCAAGAACTTGCTGAGGGGAAGACTAAATCAGAATGTCCTCAGAAAAGCATCAACCAAGGTCCCCATGCAGAAATGTCATCTCTTTCAAGGCCACAACACTGACAACAAAGTGAGAGGTATGAAGGACAAGAGATGGAGGGAGGATACAGGCAGAAAGGAAACAGCCTTTCATTTCCTAAGAAAGTCTGTTGCTAGAACCAAGGCAGCATGTGCCAGGTAAGCTGCCTCTGAGGAATGCTAAACTCACAGTATTTTATCAAAGCACCAAAGATCAAACTGGAAGGTTGGGATGATTTAATTTGCTTTAACCCTTGTGCCCAGAGCACGGAACCAGTATTGGGATGATTTCCTAATACTCTCTAGGAGTGATGGTCTGGAGAGACTGGCTTCCAGAAGACAGGCAAGTTTTCAGACTCCTTGCCTCAGGTGGGCTCCTCTACAAACCCAACCTGCCTCTGCATTCCAAAATTTGAGGACAGTACCAGGTTGCCTATAGGAACAAGCAGACAAGCTTTTGTTAAGGTCTACAGAAAACACACCATGTCTTGGGAGGAGTACAACAATAATGGTGGAGGCAAGCATCTTCACCATGCAATCATTTTCACCACTGTGTTCAACTTCATAGAGGCATTCTTTGAAGTCTAAAAAACAGGCCAGACTCCTTGTTATGAATAGAATAAGGAAAAGCCTCAAGTCTTTCTGTCTGAAGCAAGAGGTTTTCACATCTCTAGCTGTAGATGATAGGAAGTTTGTTCTACATGGCACATAAACTGCATGAGCGACATGTCCTCAAAACCAGACAAGAAGTGGCAAGGAGATAGAGAGCGTTCCTGGAGAGAAAGAGGTCCTATTCCAGTCATCTGACTGTCTGTACCTGGAAGTAATATTAAGTTCTAAGCTCCCTGCTGTTTCCCAAAGCCAATCTTAGAATTCCTTTTCCTTATATCCTCATTGCTACTGCAATGAGGAAAAAACAAATCACCATTAAAATTTGCCAGTCAGGAAGGTCAGTTCACTTCACCTTACCATCTCTGTAGGTGGACACTTTTTCTGGAAAGCAGTATGGCTAAAAGTCTGAGGCACAGAACACTCATTCCAATTCACTGTTTTATGTAAAGAATTATGTCAGAGTTAATGCCTGCTGTTAGGATTAAATGGTGGCATTCCCACTGCCAGGTATGGCTATACTTCTATCACAATTTTTAAAAAGAATATTACACAATGATCTCTGGGAAGATCTGACTACTAACCAATTTTTCTGTCTTTACTCTTCTAGGCTAGAGCAATCACAAAAGAAAGACTACAACAGGAAAAACAACTGGGTCAGTGGTTCTCCTAAAGGAACACTTGAATCTTTTTAAGTTTCTCTCCTTTTCAGCTATGAAAGGAAAATGAAGCAGATACAGTTCTGCATCCCTCCAAATCCCAAACAGTATTCAGGCTGGACAGAAGTGCTAGACTGGCTATGCTTTCACTGAGGTGGGCCAAGAGCATGTAGAAAGGACAAGAGGGCTGATTCCATGTCTGCACCATCACAAACCAGACAAGTCTGAACTTCTTCCAAATAAGAAAGACATCAGATACTTCAACCATCAAGCAGAATGGATGAGATAGGACAAACATGGTTTATTAAGAACTTGGACAGCAGCATCTAGAATAAAATGAGTTTGTGTCCACCAAGCCCAAACAACAGCACTTCAAAGACTAAGAGGCACTGCTGGATGAAGCTGAACCGAGAGCTATTTTATCATGTTTAGCAGGCCTAAATATATTTTCTGTTCTTGTTCCAAAATGTATTTACCTAGTTCCCACATGCAGCTGATGAATGCCTTTAAGAGCTTTGACTAACATTGCCCAGTCTGGTGGTTTGTGGGCAGTAAGGTGCTCAAGTGAAACACAAGAATAAGATCACTGAAAGAAAGCCAAATATACATCAAAGAGGCATTCACTTGCTTACCAATGTTACTCATGGACCAGTGAAGACTCACTGAAAGGCACAGCACTTCAGATCAACTTGTAAGTGCCTGAAGTCCAAGAAGGCAGCACCACAGAGTTTCAGAAGAGCAGGACATGATCTCAGCAGAGAATACTTAACATTTCAAAAATGAAACTAATGAAATTCAGGTTTGTGTTCATGAGAAAGAAATTGTGAAAAGTGCAAATTAAAACACCAAATGTGTACACATGTGCTGAGTGTTAACATCTATCATAGGTCTGTGCTTTCCAACTGCCTCTTAATTTCAAATCACCAGTACTTGCCAGAGACACAGAGCACTGCATCAACACTTCCTAAGAAAACACATCTGATGAAGCACAGATAGAACTTCCTGACATGATACTTCCAAAACCAGGCCCCCTTAGTCTGCAGTCTTCCAGACCTTCTTTCCAACTTTTACACCTCAAAAAGTCTGAACTCCAGTGATTGTAGCAGAAGTTGCCCTAGGGCTTGAAAACCAGTAACCAACGGTTTAAAACATCCTGCCCCTTATGAGTGGTGCTTTGGCCTCCAACTATGCTGCAGCAGAATTCCAGTCATGCTGATGCCAGCAGGCAGAGAAGCAGTTAGCAGATCCTGCTCACCAGCAGGACTTACCTCACGTGCTCTTTCTGCAGGCTCATAGTGGGATTTTGGCTCAGGGGTGTGATAGCTTTGTTTATTTCTTTCTTTACCAGGACTAGCAAGCTCTGCAACTGAGTGACAAAACAGTTTATGCAAGTGTTCCACCAGGAAACTAAACTCATACCCAGCACACATCTAGCCCTAAAAGCAGCCTCACTTAGACTCTCTGGTTTCTTCATGCACACACACACAAGTCATGTACCATATTCCTGATGACAACTGAGGTGTGGAAACTCACTCCTCTCTTCAAGAAAGGCTAACACAAACCCCAATCCTCAAACAACTGTTGAACTCAGAGATGACAACTTTCTTGACATCAACAATCTACTTGTTGCCAAAAGGGAATGATCAGTCCTACTAAATCAGCTAACTCAAATGACAACTATCTGAACTTTCTGTAAGTAGCTTGTCTCTTAAAACATTTGACCTGCTAAGAATTTTGTAGTGTTGGCCCAACAATCAAGCTTAATTTAATGCACTGCCCAAAAGAGAGAAGGAAGGCTGGCCAACAGCACCTCAGCTCCTCCCAAAACATCAAATGCACTTATATGTAAAAGAGAAAAAGCAGCTAAGTAAGATTTACATTTACATAGATAAGCTTCCACATATGAGCCAAACACAAACGGGTGCTGATTAGGTCTGCTCAAGTCTGAAAAAAAAAAACTGGAAAACAGCTCTAGAAAGCATGAACTGACTCATTTATGTCTATGGAGCACCACGTATGACTTCAGAGAAGACATTTTAAATGCCCATGTAGTCGTGACCAATTCTTCCTGCACTTCAGTATAAGCATCCAGTTACTCCACCTACCTCGAAATCCCAGGCAGCCTCCCACAACTGCCTAAGTGTCAAAAGACCCAGCTGTCTCCTGTTCAACCATCAACTGGGAATATCACTACATTTACTTTCCTTATAGGCTTCTATAATATGCTAAAAAATATGGAAGAAATTTCAGTCAAAAAATAGCACGCATAAATTTAATCCCAAGAACAAAAATTAAAACTTGCATTGGTTCTTCCTTATCAAATTTATGTTCTATCCCCAATTTCTGTTGAAGCAAAGCTGTCACAGATTTGCCTATCTTAAGGCACTTCAAGTAGTCCAGCAAGAAAGAGCACTCACACTAAGCTTTACTTTGGGCTCACAAATCCAGTTACTGGTGTGAGTTTCATAGTTGTGCTCAACTGAAAAAGCAAAGGCCGATCTACACTTGCTGTGCAACTTTGTGGAATGACCTTTCTCTGCTTGGAACATTTTCCTGCATTACTATGAAGGAACTGAAATATCAACAGCCTTTTCATCTTCTGGAATCTATTCTGAAATGACAGTGGAGAACACGAGGGGGAAAAAAGATGGTTCTTGGCTTTTCCGAGCTTTTCTACCAAGAAAAATTGTGGATGTCCCATCCCTGGCAGTGTTCAAGGCTAGGCTGGATGGGGCTTTGAGCACTGAAAGGTGTCCCCTGGCCATGGCAGGGAAGATGGAAAAGGATGGTTTTTAAAGGTTTGTCCTACACAAACCATTCTGTGAGTCCATCTATTAGCAGCACTGAAATAATACAGGCTGCTTTCCAATTCTCTTTCATTAACTACAGTTTGGGGGAAGATGTGACTTTCCTGGAGACCACTCTTGAAATACACCCACACTGTAACTATCATGCCCTCTTTCCTGGCCCACAGCATCATCCTGGGTTCACTACCACCTTCCTGTGCCACAAGACATAAACTCTTTTATCCCCCACACTTTATTTCTGTATCTTCTCAGAAACACAGCTTCCTTGCTCTTGCATCTCTTCTAACTAAATCCATTTACCAGCCTTTTCACTCGTGCTTAAGCCAGCTCTCCTCAATGAATGTAGATATAAAAATAGCAAAAGCGCTGCAAGGCAGCTACGGCACGCGGTGCATTTCATGCTTTTCACTGCTCCCCCTCCCTCATTTTTTAAGCACTGTAAAAGGATTAAGTAGGCACTTTTATTTCTGAATATATGCCTCAGTGTCAAGCAATTTCTACATTTAAGTCAATATATTCAGGTCCTTCTTGGCTAATCAAGTCTGACAGGCTTTTGTTTAAGAAAACTAAGACGTGAAGTACAATAATTCTGCTGCCTTGAGCATGCAAGAGACAGCACACTGCTGACTGGTTAATAAATTATGCACATTTATCAACTCAAACAATATTGTGTTGACATTGTTAAGTGGATATATAACAGATCTCAGGATGGCATCACTCTCACCACAAGGAAGATGGGCAAATTCATCACTTCTTGAATTAATTCAGAAGTATTCAGCGATAATTATAAATAACTGAACTTAACATGAGGAAAAATAAGCTACAAACTGATTAAGAGAGCCGGTTTCCCATGGCAGCACAAAGTAAACAAAATCAACTGTCAAAATATGAGATTTTTAATGAAACCTTGATGCAGATATCTAACTCAGCACATCAGTAGATATTTATTACCCAGCAAAGGAATAGGGGGAAAATGGATTTAAGACAAATCTCACAAATGTACTACTGTCTATGTGCCAAAGTAGGCAGGGAGATCAGGTTTCTCAGCATCACTTCCACTTTCCCATCAAACACTGCCTCAGCCTCCTGCCAGGCGAGTGGGAAGGGAGGTACCCAGCACTGCAGGAGCTTGCACAACACACTGCATGATCCCCTTATTCCCAGCCCTAGAAGTAAAATAAAGGTCTCACTTCCTTTGCACATGGTCTTTGAAATCTTTGCATCAAACCAGTGGTCACTAATGAAGTGGAATTTACTTTTAACATACCCAGGGAATGGAAACCTAGAGTGACAACCATCTCTTGGGTCCTAGTCCACATCTTGTCAAAGCAATGCCAAAAGTGTTTGGTAGCAAGTTGAGTTGACCCAACCTGGCTTCAGAGCCAGCCCTATAGCTGACCTTCTTGCATCCATCTGTTGGCACAAGGTTGCCTTTCTGACTGGCTCTAGCAACTCTTCCATGGGGACACCAAAACCTGATCACTGTGTGGCTTAGGCCTGCCCACAGGATAGGAGTGGGAGAGGGAAAACCATTAGTTAAAATCGATGTCATATTTCTACATATAAAAATTTGCCTTCTAAATTTAGTTTGTCTGATTGTCACATACTGTAATTTTTGGTCCAAGAAACAGCAGGTATAGATCTAGACTCCTGAACTTACAGATGCATATCCAGATCTTCTAAAGTTGGTATGGTATTAACAACTTTCTTGCACACGTCAGATGAAAAGCTTATTTCCAAGAAGCAAACTGTTAGCCAGAAAATAAGGCAAGAACTCTTCAAAGAAATGTGAAACATGCCAAAACAGAATTTTGACAGAGCCCATATTGCCCCAAATTACTGCATTTCACAAAATGGGCATTTACTATGCAAACAACATTTTAAAAACCCACAGAGATAATACAGTGTCAATACCCTGGGCTCCTTATCTGGTTTTAGGGTGCAATACTGATGATCCCATAATGGAACCTGACATCTCCAAACTGGAAGTCCATGCAGTAGAGCACGATTTACCAGGAGGGGGCAATGCAACTACACATGCAGTTCGTCTATACCAACGAATTCAGGCCTTCGTTCCTATAGTGAAATGCTCAAGATAGATACAGATCCTTTAATTTTAAATTCCTAAAATATTATTACTGTGTCTCGTATTCAGAAGAAGATTGATGATACCTATATTAATTACATCTTTCACAAATAATTAGGTAGCCTGGTATCAGCTTAGAAAGAGAATTGGCAAGATTAATAAAGAGATTTTTGCTTTGTCCACACTAGAGATAAACCAGAAGCAGAACTTCTTACTCAGTACCAATCCAAGATGCAAGCAATTCAAATTAAGTAGATAAGAATAAGCTCCCCTGCTGTAAAAGAAATAAAGCCCTGACAAAAATTGCCTGCAGGTACACCTACATTAGCATCTTGGTTCAGATCAGGAGTGCTCTTTTGAAGTGAATCATCCAAACATCTCCACGTATCCAGTTTTGTTTCGTATTCTGAAGATGTCTTGGAGTGCCAACCACGCCTTTTGGATGAAATTAAAAAGGCTGATGCACTCCAACCACAAGCAGGCACAGAGTCTAGACCTCAGCCAGTCCAAAGGAATTCCTGCTGTCTTTAAACACATGAAGTCTTCAGGTCCTCAGCACCTTAATTATTGTGCTCCACAATCTGCTTCTACAGGACTGTACTACTTGCCAGTGTAGCTATAACCTACCACTTCAAACACATCCATCTTAGGTTCTCATAACCAGGGACAGAGACACCATTTAATGAAGCTATCCTGAAATGCAGAGGTCCACAGAGAATGGGATTCCACCACAGCCAATTCTTAGCTTCCTGAGCCAGACTCAGTTTTGCAAAGCTCAAATTCAAATGGCAAGCAGTTGTCTCCATGTTGCTGAATAGAATCACAGAATCCCATTAAAACAGCCAGGAATGGATCAGATTTCTTGTTTAAACTATCTAAACACCTACACAGTTGACAGTCTTTATATACCTTTTAAATGAGGATTGGGGGTGAGATAAAATCCCAGTCGCAAAATTCTCACGTAATTTTCTGTAGTTTGACCACACGTCATTTTCACCTCCTTAGTAAGACACAAACTACAAGATTCCTGCAAAAACTTTTAGAAGTCACCTATATGCCTTTTAAAAAGTAATCTTTTCTCTAATACTGCTGAGAATTAGAGTTTTTGGCAGATGTCCTAAACACCGTTCCTGTTACAGTCTCGGTCAAAACTGTCTAGGCTCTGTGCCAGCATTGTAAGAACAAGCCCTCAATTTTAATTTAGGAAGTGGGGAGGGGGGGAAGTATATGCAACTTGTTCAGGAAGATTATCTAATGCATAAAATTCTACCAAATAATATTAAATAGGTATATGCATACATACTTTACACAAGCAAAAATTACAAGACAGCAAGTCTGGTAAAAATATCAACGCATTTATGAACGCCCTGAGCTTCAATGCCTGACACTAATCTTGACTCCCATTATCAAGCTCCTCATTGTTTACTGGCTTCATCAAAACAGGGGGGGTGAGTTAAGGACAAAGTGACAACATTTCAATATTTTGGCCTTCAATTGTGTCACAACACTGATGTTTATCTAAATTTGTGTCTACTACCCTTCCCCCATCTGAAAGAGCTTGTTTTGGCTGCTGTTTTGTTAAAAACCACTTGGGATCATACATTTTTCCACCACAAGATCCAATTAACTAAGTGGGATTTTCTTGAAAGCTAAATGTGAGTCTTTTATTTTAATGCATTTGATGAACAATATGCCTACACACTTACAAAAGGTAACTTTTTTAACTCACCTATTTTGTAACTCATTCCTATTTATGCCTCCAAGGAACCAGGCAGAGGTTACAGACCCATGTAAGGTCAAAAGCTTTGATCTTACAAATTTTACATGTTTTACTGTGCAACCTTATTCAGTAATACAATCTACATTACATGCCGTCTTGTGGTTGTGGAAGCTGTCAGTTTTATTTTGGATTTTAAAAAGCAGGACTGATTAAACATAACTTTCAGGTAACTGCCTTTTCTTTCTACTTGCTCATTCTGTTATAACTGCAACATCCTCAGAAAGTTCCACCCACTCAGAGAAAATGGTGCATTGCTTTGTTTCCACTACTAGCAGCAGCAGCTCCTTTATTTTAAAAAGAAAATCCAGATTTTAAGAGTTGCACTGATTACTAAAGTTAAATGACCTAGATAATTTAATTGTAATCCTCTTCCTCAACAAAAAATACTGCCTGCAGAACCTTAGAGATTAAAGGGGCATTTAAAAGAAATCATTGACTCCCATACTAAGAAAAATTTAAGCGGTTAAGCAGTAGCTAAACTTTTGCCCACCTTTGACAATATCAATTTTTTATTTTTGTATTTTTCTAGTATATTTTTTTATTACTTACTCCCCCCACAAACAGTCTAAAAACAGTTGGAGGTGCTATGAGGTTTATCTTGGCATTCTTTAATGGGTGGGGAAGAAACAGTCGAGAAATGGGGTTTATATGCCTTTCCCTCATCCCTCCTTATGGATTCTTGTGTGGCTGAATCTTAGCTACCAATCCCTCCTTATAGCAGCACTAAACTCATTTGCACTTTGGAAAAGACGGATAAGGAGCATAATGTGGCCTGGAAAGGTATTTGGAACTTTGTATTACTTGTTATGCAAACAGGTCACGGGATGCAAATCAACATTTGGTCCTGGTTGCATCCTCATTAAACGTTACCAGGATTTGGAAAACCAGACTGGGTGTAGTTTTTCCATCACTGCTAAGTGAAAGGTTGAAACAGACTCAAGCAAGAGGTCATTTAAGGACAACTGGAATTTGACCCTGCACTTCCTGAAGAGCCAGAGCATTGGTTTCACTTCAACTCTGTGTCACATCCAGCTCTGGCCTAAAGTGCTGTTTTGAAAGCCTCCTGCTTCTGAGGCTTATGTTGCATATTCCATCTACATATATATATATATATATATAAATGCACACGAGATCTTAGGAGGTGAAAAGTATGACAGAACAATATTGTCCACATACATTCACTTTCTTTTATCTTCCAGTACTGTACAGAAATTGCATACTTACTCTATCACAGAAGTATGGTTTATATATTTGTAATTCCTCCAGAATTATAATTTTAACACTGATCTACAAAACATATTTATAGAACTACCTCTAAAGCCCCCTTCCAATCCAAATCATTCTATTATTTTATGATCTAGGTGGCTTTTAATCACTAAGCTACTGTGCATGAGAGAATAATACATTAAAAAACAGGCTTCCATCTACCATGAATGAGTGCCAAACACATATGTTTGAGAAATGGAAATCTGAAAAATATTATGGCCCCCAAAACAGTACTCTTGAGAGAAAAATCCACCTGGGAATAATCTCCTCTTCTGTCTACCTAAGCCTAGAGAGAGACCAAGAAACAGCCTCTTCCACAAAAAACGCCTTCAAACAACCCCACTCTGGCTCCTGTTGCCTTCATAGGAGCTGCTGGATATTCAAATGCTCCGGAAGACGTCTTATATTCAAGTAGCCAAGCATGGATTTAAGTGCTTTGCTCTACATTTACAGGTGGATTTTTACATGCTATTTTCCTTCCTGAGATATCCTGGGGCTACAAGGAATTCTTTTTTAATGGGTGCAGGAATGGGAAACAAGAGGGGGAGAGAGGCTTCTGCCCCCACAAAATCCAGTCTCCTGTTTCTACCTCTTCTAGCCGCCTCCTCTGCTCCTTCTGCTGCTCGATGCGTTTCTGCCTCTCTGCCAGCAGCTGCCTCTTGTACTCCTCCTGCTCACGGAGCTGCTGCTCCTGCAGCAGCTGCTGTCTCCGAAGGGCCTCAGACCGTTCCTTGTTTTCCTGCTGCAGCCTCAGGAAATCACGTCGGAGGGTTGATTCTCCAGGCACATTGACAATGGAACTGCAACAAGAGGAAGCTAAAGCCTTCTGTATGATAAAGCCTGATGGGCCATTAAACACCTTTGCCAAAGCAGGGGAACATTAATAAAATATATCATGATGTTAAAGTTTAATCTCGTTTCTTTTGGAGCAAAGACACTGGATGTATGTCAAATGCAAGCCCTCACTGGAAGGCGTGAAATGAGGCCAAGCAAAGTAAGGGCAAATGCTAACACTGTGGAGACCCTGATCAATCATACTTGCCATATATCTCCATCCACAGCTTGTTTGCTGTAAGTCATAGGAAGGGGAGCTTTCAAACTTTTAACAGTCACAGCATAGGTATTCAAACCTTTTGAGTGGTTTGTACATTTGCTTAATAAGAGACAAAAATTTAGCATGCTGATTTATAATCACAGATCTTTAGACTTACTTGGCATGGACTGCCCAAAGCCATCCCAAAAGCAATTATTACCTTGGCTCTCCTTCTTGTTCAGGCACTTCCTCCTCCTCTTCCTCACTTCCACTATATTCATACTCCGTCTCATCTAACAGGAAAGAAACAAAGGCTTGGATAGTACTTTAATTTTAGGGCAGTGGGGAATTGCAGTAGCACCTCAGCAAACCAGCTCCTGTCCCCTTCAGTGGGAAGATCTATCACAGACCCTAGAACTCATTCTATATATACAAGCTCATCTTCCCAGTGGCACAGTGGTTTGGAGAAGACTTCCAGCAAACTCCCTGAACAACACCAGGTTTTACATGTAAGACAAGACACCTGGAGAACTTCAGCACCACCTGAAAAAGGAGAAAAGTCTGCCCAAAACATTTGCTTCACAGCTCTTGTGATGGGTTATTTCCTGTGAATCTGATTTATGGCATCATTCCAGGAAATTAATCTACCACAGACTAAAGAAGGGAAAGGCATATATGACAATATCCTCCTAAATACTGTTTAATGCTTGTATGGAAGAGCCAGTGGCAGCAAGTGAGCAAATTTAATCTATCAGAAAATACAGCAGTTGAAAGTTATACTTTTTCTGTAAAGGACAGAACAAAACAGAGCCTTCTGATAGCCAAACTATGAATTAAAAAAAAACTTTTTAAGGATTTGGGCTATAGGAGCTTCTCTTGGGGTGGGTACTTAGAATACAAAGCAGGACACATATATGCATTTTTGACAAGTGGCAAAGACTTGGTTTTTAGAAGCTGCATACCTTTTTCTCCTCTCTTCTTCCTAGTCCTGTCTATATGGTCCTTAAGCTGGATTCGGACTTGCCTTTCATTTGGCTGGTCACGTATAAAGGGATGTTTCAACAGTTGCTCTGTAGAAGGTCGCTGCATGTAATTCTTCACTAGACAACCTTCTATAAAGCTGAAAAACTTTTTCGACCTGAAAAAGCAGGAAGGGGAAAAAAAAGCAAACTATGAGAGGTAAAACTCAGCTGAAACATTTTTCCTGTCCCTCCTCAAATTATTTTGCTCCAAGAGCATCATGTCCTAGAGAACAGCACAAGTGCTGCTTGCAAGTGTACCTCCTAAACAGATCTGAGTGTGTTCCAGCTGAGCACTGGGCTGGAGTGACACAGAGCTGGAGGGACACAGGGTGACATGAACATTCTTGGAGCACTCAGGCACAGCCTCACTCTGTGCGCCCTCTTTCAGAGGGATAACTGCTCTGAAAGTCAGGATTTATGAGTGAGGTAAATCATGTAAACCCAGCCTAGCTGCTTCTGGATCAGAGCTGGATAGAATCCAGCCTGCTTGGAGCAGAGGCAGGGCAGCTCTGGTGTACCTCCACCTACCCATGCTACAGACAGCCATACCCAAAGTCAGGAGAACTGTGTCTGCCATTCTCCTGCCACAAGCAGCACCACACTGCTTTTGCATGCACCTGGGCTCACAGATTTAGATCTGCCAGAATTTAAGATTATGTTATCTTTTACCTTAAGACTCACACACAAAAAAAAATTTACAGAACTAGAGGTGGGTGTTGGTCAGTGTTGTCTGTTCAACACAGACACTTTGAGTCTCTGATGTAATTTAAGGGCATAAGCTAAACTAAACCCCTCCTGCACACAGCATAAACTGACAGGGTATGGGAGTTAGCTAAGCTGAAGCACCACCTTTCCAAAATGTGCACTTCATTTGAACTCTTCAAAGGGGATCTCTCCAGAAAGAAGTCACCAAACAAGCTACCTGCCAAAATCCAATTGTGGAAATACTCAAAACTGCAATGAGGCACTGGAACAGGCTGCCCAGAGAAGTTGTGGATGCCCCATCCCTGGAAGCATGCAATGCCAGGTTGGATGGGTTTCTGAGCTACTTGAACTAGTGGATGGCATCCCTGTCCATGGCAGGGCTTGGAACTAGATGATCTTTAAGGTTCCAACCCAAGCCGTTCCATGACGGCTCTACGAGTTGATTCTACAACTTTGTCACCATTTGGCCTATCTTCTCATAACCTGCAACTGAGCACTCTATCCAAACAGCTGAGTGACAGCAACACTGTCTTGGACCAGAGCTGCTTTTTAACTGGTACGTGCTCTCAACGTGCTCCAGTGCTTGGAGAGCAAACATCCTCACCACATGCTTAAGAGGAAAAACAATTATTTCCATCCATCAATTCACTTCCCTACTGTAATAAAAAAAGCTGAATCCAACGTAACTTGGAGGTTCAGATTTTTTTATTCCTCACACCTTGAATGTTATTATTTCACATAAAAATGTCAATGAATGGCTAATGCAAATGGCACATATGCATCTCTATTCCCTTAATATATGCAGAAGGCAAGTAAGAGAGAGCAATGCCTTGACAGTATACAAGTGCATAAATAAGTCAATCCAGGTAAAGACCAAGCCCAGCAAGCAAGCCATGTTTATACTATGTTGATATTGAATACACAGTCCAATCACTTCTTTATTTTGACAGGATCACACAGCATCCCATGATCACATTCCATTGATAAGAAACCTCTTTCTACAGAGTATTTGTGTTTCATATGTGCCAGTTGTAACCAGTAACTGGGAGGAAATCCTCTGATACTAATGGATTCTTCTCAGCTGGCAAGAAGCAGGCACTCAATTCCAACCATTTACAATAATTATAGTAAAAGCCTTCATTAGTTTTAATAGCTCCTTTCTATTTAGCAACTAGAACACCATAGCACTGTTCTGTTTCTGTGTTATGATACATCTGAGAAAACATACTGCATATTAAGAGTGCTACACGAGTTTATATTTGAAAACATGGATCCATTTGTCCCCTTAATACAGATGCTGCTCTACCAAAAAAAAAAAAAAAAACAAAAAGGCAAAAACCTTGGTATTTATTTTCACACAATTTGAGATGGAATTTCTCTGGGACAAAGAGAACTAAATAATGCAAGCATTTTATTTCATCCTTTGATTCAGAGGCACAAAAGATAACAGAGATTTTGCTAACTTAAACTGCTTTACAATTCTGTGGAAGGGGTAACAAAACTGTATGCGATATGAGAAAACTTCACACTACACAAAGCAAGATATAATTAATACATACCATTTCTTGGATTTTAACCGTGGGGGAGGGTTCCTGGGTATCAGAAAGAGTGCCCTCATGGGGTGCATGTCACAAAGTGCTGAAGGGAAGAAAACAAAACCAGAGACATAGAGACACTGGTTTAGTATCTCTCTGGAGTGCCCTCATGGGGTGCATGTCACAAAGTGCTGAAGGGAAGAAAACAAAACCAAACAGAGACATAGAGACACTGGTTTAGTAGCTCTCTCTCAATGCCATGACTTCAGCTTCCACAACCACTCCCACCATCCCAAACATCCATGCAGCAAGTGCAGACAGCAACACAGCTAAATGGAATTAGCCCAGAATGACAACAATTCCATAGCTCAGTGTGTCAATGGCAGCCCAAAAAGAGAAAGAGGCCAAAGCATGGATCAGCCTCCAGAATCAACCAAGACAGGAACACCTGAGCATAGCCCTGCTCCAGCCCCAAGTCATCTGACTTACTTTCTGATCAATAAAACAGTGGGAGATGATGATGGTGGAAGGGAACAATGGGAATATAATACAATCTTCCCTCTACCTGCCCTTCTCTCCCATTATCGAGGGTGCTTAATTTTTACTCTCCATGCCTGGATATTTTTGTACTTCAAGGCATGACAGTTTTGAAGCATGGGAGGTCTGTATAACTCAAAAGGACTGCCTGCAGAACTTAAATGCAAACCCTGTACTTCAAGGCATGACAGTTTTGAAGCATGGGAGGGTTTGTATCACTCAAAAGGATTGCCTGCAGAACTTAAATGCAAACCTGTAACTTTTGTCGGTGGACATTTAGTGGGAGTCCAGGATCAACGTTGGACAGCTTTTCCTCCTATGCCATAGCAAAGCAACATAGCAGAGCCAACAGAGGGAAACAAGGGAGCAGGCACAGAGGCAGCCCAAGAAAGGCCTCTAGGAGCAATGTTCTAACCATCCTCCTATGCCTGATCTCTTACACCTTCAGTCTCAGCCTGAGTGATCACTGCAGGATGGGGTGACATTTACCACAATTCAGGAGAAACAGACTGATGGGAAGAGAATTCAGTTATAAGGGGCATCAGTCTTGGCAAAGAAGCCCCCTGGATGCCTATGGATCCCTGCAGACCACCACAGAGTCCACAGAGATGGATTCTTCAGCTGCCACTGGACGAGCAGGCAGTCCACGTACCAGAGGACAAGAGCTGTTCAGCACTTAGAGAGGATCTTTGCTAACTTCTTAAATGCTCCTCTTGTGCTTTTACACAAAGAAGGGCCAAGCTCTGTTTGGTTTAGAAATGAACAAAATATTATTGTCCAGTCCTGGGCAACCCAATACACTGAACAAAAAGGTATGGCAAAAAGTTTGTAGCTCACTTAATGCAGTGCTGGTTGAAGTGTCCTGGGAGCAGCTCTCACTTGGACATTCATGCAAATGTACAATTAGGAAGGAAAAGGAAAACAACCCCAAACTATGAGGCCTCCTAAAACATGAATCAACACATGACCATTGTGCTTTGACTTTTAAATCTTGCATTAAAGTCAATAAGAACAACAAGAAAATCAGGCAGCAGCTACAACTAAATGACCAATTTTTAGATGGGAAATATTAATATTTTATTTTGACAAGATTATTTCAAAGACATTTCAAGCTGCACTGTGTGTGGTCATGGATTTCTATCTGCAAAAAAATTAACTTCCTCTTAGGTATCTTAGGCTCTTATTTTTTAAATACAGAGCTCCAGCTGAGGGTGACAGTAAGTATATTTGTAAGATCAATATTCATAAATTAAAGTTTTATAAAAATTATCATTAAAAGTCAAAACACCATGCCTAACTTTTTTTTTTCCAAAGGTTTCTGTCCTCCTCACACATCTGCTGTTTGCCTTTATATTCTGAAAGAACTATGTGAAAGGAAAAGAGCCTATTAAAAAGTTGGGTATTTTTGGTTTCCAGGTTTTCCTCTCAAATCCAAACTAACTGATGATGATCCCTGCTTGAGAATACCTAAGTTCAGTGCTTTGTCCTGGAGAAGGATTTACAGTTTAAGCCATGTCACTGCTAAGGAAGATTAACACCACCCACTGATGAGTGGAAACAAAAGGAGAAGCAATGTTAGCATTATCCAGACTGACAGAAAGCCAACACAGAAATAGCTGCTACAAATGCTTTTTTCATTAAGATCTGTTTCCTCAAGGCCCCACTGACCCTCTCCCCAGCTGAGGTTTCAGTATTCCAGGCCAGTCCATAGACAAAGTGGGACACAACTCCAAAACACAATATACTACCAATAGGAAGGAAGTCAGACACTCGATTAGCTTCCAAATATTCCTGCTATAGAAATCAAATTACTGCAGTCTGTACTGTAGTGTTTAAACACAACCCTATCTTTATCAAAAGCATTGCTATTTATGGGATTTTATATTTATAGAGCAGGCAAAACCAAAGAGAACAGAAATAACATGGGGATATTTTCAGAAACCTCAAAACTAGGCTCAGATTACAACCAGCATCACCAAGTATACGTTTCAGCCTTAAAACGAGCCCAGTGGAGAAGCACAGGGATCACTTACGGGGAGCTCCTTCTGCCATCTCTATGGCCGTAATGCCGCATGACCAAAGGTCACTCTGCAGAAAAACAGAGACACCATATGTTAGTAGGTGGATTTACCCATTCACACAGTATGAGAGTACTATTTAGAGAGGCCCTGTAGGTGAGGCTGAAACCAAATACCATGGCTATTTAAATAATATAAGCCTCTTTTATCTTGTAACTGTATCATAAAATCCTACTTTTCACGTAATACTTATGTACATGCAGAAACACGCGCATGTATTCCGAGTGAGCAAACAACCCTTTCCAACAGCACATAAAAATACACTCACATTATGGCAATGGGAAATACATCTGCCAGAAATCTAAGCCTATGAAACAACAGAATTTTCAATATTCCCTTGTCAACAAAGAACAGAAAAAGGGCATTCCCAGGGTGTGTAGAGATGCAGTTATAAAAGCAAAAGCTCAGCTCAAACTTAAAGCAGCCAGACTTGTTGAAAACTGCAATAAAGGGCTCTTCAGGTACGTAAACAAACAAGCAAGAACAAAAGGAAAATACAGGCCCACTGAAAGGAGAGGTGAATTAGTCACTAACACCACTGAAAAGGCAGAGGTTCCCAAAACTTACACCTCTGTCTTTACCACAGGCTCCAAAAATTTACACCTCTGTCTTTACCACAGGCATTACTTACAGCCAAAGCCAACATTCCTCCCCAACACCTCAGCTTTGCTTAAAACACTACAGAAAAAGAGCCCTTCAGTGGCAGCCTTTCAAGGTACCACCTCTGGCCAGCATGTCTGACTTGGGAGAGACCAAGCAAGAGCCAGGAAGATCAAACACAGGGAAGAGATGGAGGAGTCCTGGCAAGGAACCAACTTCAGAGAGTGACACAGCTTAATGGGCAAAATATCGGAGGAGACTGCTGTGAAAGAGAGCTGTTCTTGAACAGAGCAGTCTTCATTTCTGGTCATAATTGTGATTTTTTTTTTAAATTACTTTAATGAGCAAATAAGCTCTTCATGCTCTACAAGCACAGAAACATTTCTAAAGATCGTATTTCAGACCCAGCAAGGCACTCTTCTCTTAGTCAAATGCAGCCATCTAAGCTAAAGTGCACATCCTCCTGATCTTAGAGAATCTTTCAAACATTAATTTTTTGTGAGCAATCACCCTAGAGACTCCAACAGGAACAATAAACAGGTGTTTTCAGAAGACAGAGGAGTTCTTTTTCACATCACTACTGCATTAATAAATATTCCGGGGCGTTTTTCTGCTTTATTAAATCCTTTAATAGTGAACCTTCCTTAATAATAATAACTCTATCTGGAAAGATATAAAACATTAGCTTTAGTACAATGAGATGCTGAATGTAAAAAGTAATTAAATCAAGAGAAATAGGATCAATCTGATCAATCTTACTCAAAATGTACAAAAACACCAATTCAAATAATCTGGGTGTTTTACAAGGATTTAGACACACACAAATAGCTAACACTATCAGTCTCAGCAAAGTGATATATATAATTGATATTCAGCTCTATAATTTTTGTAAGACCTTAATCCCTGGCTTTCTGATATCCTTGTTGCCCTTGGTTAAGGTTGGAACAATGTGTAGAGATTTCTTACAAAGCACATTTTTACATTTTTTCTTTCCTTGTGCTCTCATTAAAGTCAGCTGACAGGAACTTTCAAGATTACAGTATGCTTTCACTAGATATATTTAACTTTAAATACCTATACCTAATATTCTTAAGGGTAGTGCAAATACCATCAAGCCAATTATGGTTTTGCAGTAATTACATCCTTGGTTTGCAGCAAGCTACGTAAAGAATGATCTTTGTTAAGAAAAGTTGTGATGGATAAATTTCTATCAAAAAAAATCATGTATCTGTATCCTGAAATCAGAAGTAGTTTCAAGAGTTCCTTCTGTACTTCAGTGGCTCTCCAGACGGTGGTTCTATTTAAGGCAGCATCCAAAATGTATTGTTCTGGGTTACCACAATAACTGGGACATAGTGTAACACAATTTAAAGTACAACCATTATGCAAATCAAGAACAGAAGCATTTCCAGGTAAACTCTTTTTTGCCTTCTCTAAGCACCTACAGCACCCTGAAGTCCTGTATTTACATCTCAAAAGTACAATAATACAAGCACAGAAACTGTTAAAGGTCACAATTTGATGGTATCCTTACCTTTACTTTGGTAAAAAGATTGCAACTACACAAAACAGTTATTACTCCTACAAAGCATAAGAAGTCTCAAAAACTGCACAGCCCACGGACATATATATTGCAAGTGTATGTTTTGGGTTTTCCCTTTGAACAGGACCCTTACTCTGTAATCATACGTAGCATCTGGATTCTCATCACAGGCAATAACTTCTGGAGCCATCCAGTATGGAGTCCCAATGAAAGTGTTTCTCCTGCCAACTGTCCTGTCCAGCTGAGCGCTCACACCAAAATCCACTGTGGGTGGGAAAAGAGTAAAATGAAATAAGAGGGGGGAAATCACACAACAGTTACTTTTGCAAAGTGATTTGAAAATAAAGCCCTGTAGACACCCCACATGGGAAGACCATTCTGAAGAGAAATGAGATGGTTAATCCTGAGGCAAGTGAGCCCTCATGGTTCACACACAATGTGCTTGGGCACAAGTGTCATGGGACACATCAGCACACAATCACCTCTCCTGTAGCCCTCACTGGTGTGCCTGGACAGGAGGGAGAGCCCAGCTGCAGAAGTACTGCCTGGAAGGCTGAGAAAGGGCTGTTTAGTCCCTTCCCACATGGCGAAGCCGAGCACCTTTGCCTATACAAAAAACAGCCACTTCCCAAAGGCACCTCTCATGCTACGAGAAAATGGCATGCATAAACACGTCCCTTTCAGTTCACCACTTTTTCTGCTCTAAAACTGGACAGCAGAAATAATCTGTTGTTCAGCGAGCTGCTCTCTGCTTTAATGCACAGAGCAGAAACATCAATGAGAGCAAAAGATGAGAATTATTCAGGATGTGCTAACTTTGAGCACACATGCACACAGGCTGCGAAAGAGATGCCCATTTCATTACAAAGCAATTACATTACAAAGGTGTTTTCTGCCTTTTATTTTGCCCTGCTCATGACCACAGTGCTGTATGTCCTTCTATACCAGTAACTGCACCTGCCCTAAGAGGGCTGTGCCAGCTTCACTGCATCCACCATCTGAGTGACAGTGACAAACTGGTGTAGACAAGCTTAGTGGAAGCAATGGTTTGGAAGCTACTGTGCTCCATTTTGGACCAAATGAAGGAAAGCTCTCCCAAGCGCTTCCTCCTGCAGCAGCCGGGACAACTTCCCATGCCTCATGCTGCAGGAAGGTGTAATGCAAACCAGAAGGGATGTGGGCTGGGTGGGAGGCCTTCAGCATGGCTCTATATTTAACGAAAAAAAGGTGGCGAGTGTAGCGTGATACAAACACAGAAGGTTGACATGTGCACTAACTGAAAGAGACAAATTAGAGAGGAAATAAAAAAAAGAGTATGTCCACTTGGCAGGAGAGAAGAGGCCAGGGATGAGCACGATTTTCAGCAGGCATGCCAAAGCTGGAACTGTGTTTTGAATTCAATGCCACAGCTCCCTTGAGAGTGCTATCCAGATCATATTTTCGTGTCCAGAACCTGAACAGTAGGTGCTATTTTAATTAAAGCTAAATACAAGAGAGACTCCTGTCACTTCCCAAGTCCAGAATAAAGTGAATCAGAACAGACTCAAGTTACACACAGCTCAGCAGGGGAAACAAAATGATCCCTGCACTGATTCTGGCATGAAAACCAACATCTCCTAAGCAAATTCAACAACAACCTGTGCTCCATCCTCTCCAAGCAGGAAGAAATACATGCAGGCTGTCAATCCACATGGAACCACTGACAGAGTACTCATGCTATAAAACATGTTGCAGAGCTCTTAAAGGATGAAATTAATTTGGGAACATCATAAAACCAAAGGCTGAATGAAATGGGGAAGTGGACATGTGCACCTACTTACCAAGTTTCACTTCTGCATTCTCTGTTAACAACACATTTTGCCCTTTGATATCCCTGTGAATCACATGATGGGCATGAAGATGTGCCAACCCCTGTATTAAGGAGAAGAGAGGAAGGAGAGGATGTTCAGAGTTAGGCCCTTGGCTCAGCAACTACCCATACCCAGCCATCCCAAAGGTCACAGCATTGTGCCTCAACCTCTTGCAACTGGGTGCAAAGAGACCTGCAGCACACCACCCACACAGCTTTGGTGATGGAGCAGAGACACAGGCTCAGATCAGGCTCACATAGTACCTATATACAGCCCAACATCTGCACTTTGTAAACACCTCCACACCTCCCAGCTGTCCTGTGAAAAAAGTTCAGCTCCCATAAAGTCTCCAAGTAATTCCATTCTAAATTACATCATTGTCAGTGTATGCCACTGCCTTCTGACATGCACAGGGTCACACAGAATTCAGGTGGGAAGGAAGTGGAAGGAGAAAGGAGGCAGCATCCACATGTGTAAATGCACCCCAAAAACGAGGTGGGGGGTGATGGACTGGCAGTCATGTCTGAAGGCAAGGAAGGACAGATGACAAAGACATGCTCTACTGCAAAAGTGTAGTTCTCTTCTCTAGCCTCCATAAACATGAAGCCAGCTAATTGTACCTCAGGAAAAAAAAATGCAAAGACGGAAAAAAAAAAAAAAGCACAAGCGTTATACTTTCCAAAGGAAACAAAACCTCCTGGCATACGGTGCTTTTTGTTGAGACAGCACCTGGATACATGCCCCAAAGCATTAGCCATGTGGAGGGAGGGCTGAGAAAGACATATGTTGCATTTTACTCTCTAATGTAATTGAGAGAACAACAGGCAACCCTCTTAGCAACTGCCTGTATTTTGGGATCTCCTCAGTTTTCTGCTTGGAAAATTGTAGTCTCCAGTGGGATCATCTTGCCTGTTCGTGTTGCCCTCACAGTCTTCTAACATTTTGTGAAAAATAAAGGAATAGAACCTTTACAGCTGCAAGAGGTTAAGAGAGTAGTGGTTGCTGTAGAGAAGTATTTCTTAACACATGTTCTTCATTAACTGATCATTTACCAGTTTTCCTACATAACCATTGGGCTGTTTTCCTTTTTTAAAAACAGTTAATGATTGTGACAAAGAAACACTACCTACAGCTTCCCTTCCACATGTCACAAGCAAATCAAGTGAAGAGCTGATATCCCTGAGACCCTTCACTGATTGCTAATGGTAAGTGTGGTCTTATTTTTCACAGGAATGAAGGCTTTTCCACAGCTTCACACAGGATATTTTTAAAGCCTTCTGCTACTCTGACCCAGCCAGAGAGATAATCATCTGTTCTCTCCAGAGTACCATCTAACCCTACTGAAAAAACACATTTGGAGTTACAAAGGCCTGGGAGGAGACAGAGGGGCAACATCTCCACTTTCCTGCAGTCCCCCGACCTTTCCAACCACACAAGGATTCACTGGGTCTACCTTCACCTGTGTCTCCATCTACACCAATCTTCGGCACTTTAGCTCCTTTTAACTTTGTTTTACACCACCTCTCTCTTCCACCTCTGACAAACTCTGTACTGAACCAGGGTTTGAAACACCAAACTGCAATGTGAGTTTAGCATTCCTTTTTTCCAGATATTCCAGCTCCTGATGGTCAGTAATTAATACTCCTTTTGCAAATCTCTCATTGGAATGAGAAAATAGTTTTCCCTCTTTTCTGAGGTAAATATTTTTTCCTCTTCTCAGCAAGTGTTTAACTGTTTTACCTAAAGAGGATCTAGGATGAATGCAAGATAGCATAGAATACCTCGAAGTCTCTCAAATCAAGGGTAAGATGGTCCTGGAGAAATTAGCTTTCCTCACATTAAAGCATGCTAACCATTTGTTTTGAAATACAACTTCTCCTTTGTAAACAACTTAAAATGTGCCAGTCAAACACCAGCAGCTGGACTGTCCTCTAGCATTTGAAATTAGAGCAAGAGACCAGAACTATGCGTCTCCCTCCATCCTCATCTTAAAAATTGCCAAGGCAGAGCAAATGTGTAATGCAGACAACAGCAGCATTGATTTATGCAAGAGCCAGTGCTCATTTCCTTTAACATAAAGCCCTTCAGAACTTCATTTATGATTAAGCAATTGAACAAACATACTGTGTAGTGGTATGGGTAGGAGGCAATTTGTTTTACAAAGAAGCACGAGGAAAACCATCCCAGATTTACTTAGTGAAGCAAAACAAATGCCAATTCAAAAAGCACTTAAACTGTACCAACTGGAAATTAAATATTAAGAGTAATTAGCTTAAGTTGCAATTTTAGAACAACTGGTAAGCTGCAGACCTCTTCCTGAAAAACTTCTGTAGTGCCGCCTGCAAGCACTGCACGGGGCACAGCCACACGTGACAGAGCTGCTTGCTCTAGACAGACTGCAGGGACAACACAAGGTGAGAGCACATCACCAGTCAGCACAGAAGTCCTGACTGCTGGCCTGAGCCAACAGCTCTTCCTCCATGGACGTGATCAGGAAAGAAAAAGGCAGCTGCAAGCATATTTAGAAAAGCCCTTTCTGTACCCTACCATGCTACAAAACTGTTTCAGCCCCAGGTCTTAGGGACACTGTTTCACAGCTTCTGCAGCAGGCAAGGTCACTGGCTCCTCTATTGGCTTCTCATGACTAGAAATTGCAATTTTCTGCAAGGCTTCTGCTACAATACAGTACAACTCACACCAAGTTAAATGATGTGGAGCAGACATCTATCTGCTCCTACGCACTCTCCAAGTGATGACATGGCTAATGGGATTGATCAGAAACAGCTTCTTGCAGAACCTAAAGCTAGGCTGCATCTCTGTAAGACTGTTTCTGTGTGGGGCAGACTGCTTTCCTTACCCGGAGAATCTCTCTGGAGATATATGCTATCCAGTCTTCTTTCAGGGTATTCCCTTTTGTGTTCTTCACAAGGTCTGTGATAGAGCCGGCTCCACAAAACTCCATAACAAGCTGCAAAACAAATATCATTGTACAACCAACACTAAACACAGATCTCAGCTGTATAGCAAAGCAAAATAATCAGGTTACAGCACTGATTTGGGAAGCTCTTGTGAAGTACAGAATGTATTTTACATCTCTGCCTGGAAAATGGATTCAACCAAATGTCTTCAATGTGTGTCAGACATATATGGAATATGTCTCACATTAGTTACCACATTTTCAAGGACTGATTTAATCACTGTAATTTAATGCTGGGAATCTGGATTTGCTCAGCTATGCAAAATGCATTAGCAGTAAGAGCACATCCAATGCTAAAGGAATCAAACTTATCACATCACTGCAACACTTCTTATCCTTTAATTTCCATGTCTTTATGGAAGAACGTGCACCCTTGCCATGTCAACCCCAAACGTCAGTCCTCTAGAGGGTGTAGATGAGGTGGGATGAAAAATGTAATGGGTACAATATCAAATTCAGCTTTTTTTTTACAGTCACATATTCTTACTGCTCAGCTGTCTTGTTCCTATGAAACATGTTACTATCCATCTGGGAAACAGGAGAAAAAAGTTACTTAAAGAACAAATCCACTGCTTATAGCAAATCTTGGTTCAGACATCCCCTTAAGGATGTGTGATTAGTCTCTGTGATTCACTTATCTGGCAGTTGAGGCAAGCACCAAACTCCTTTAGCTTGTCTTTCCATAAAGTGGTATTTCTCTCATCATCAATCTATACCCAACAGGGAAAGACTTAGGAACATGTTTGAAAAACATCTGCTTACCCACAGTTGGTCATCATGTCCTGGAGGACTCTTCTTAATGAAAGCACCATAATAAGTTGCAATATTTCTATGATGAGAATATTTCTTTAGCATATTAATCTCCAGTTTGATTTCTTCTTCTTCATCCTTTGGGAAAAAAAGAAAACAAACCCCCATATGTTTAATATACCACATGCATTATTGATTTATTCCTCACTTTCACAAAAGCAGATTTTTTCTGAACTTCAATTTACACCAGCATCATGTTCCGTAAACCCCTCTGATGCTCATGCCATCAAAATCCTCTCTATTGAGATGGTCTAAAACAAGTCTTTCCCAAATTTTCAGTAGCACAAAGAAACAAATAAAAGATGCAATGGATTTGACCCAGTGATAGAACATGACAATCTGTTTCAAAAATGCAATGCTTGTAGTACCTTAAGCAAATCCACAGCTAGCAGGCTGGGAATTTATGGCAGACGAGTATTATTTCCATCTTCCTCATTTTTTCTCTTTTAATTTTGGAAGTTTCAACCAGTTCTATTAAAATGCCAGACAGTGGCTTTGTGAAACCAGCTACCAAAGCAGGTTCCCATCCTGGTGCCAGCATTGGACTGACACAGGAAAACAGAGGTGGAGATCAGGAATTCCCCTTACTGCAAGAAAAAGGCATTTGCCTCGTGCACAAGCTTCCTTCTCCTCCTCCATCTGCCTCTGTGGAGGAAGAGCAAGTGCATCAGGAAGAATGGGCCAGGAGCCCAGCAGTAAACAGGATGCTGAGACACAAAGGCAGAGGAAGGATTTCCCCTGGCTCCCCCCCGCTCCAGCAAGGTGCCAAGCAAAGAGCAGCTCAGGTGAAGGGAGGTCATGCCTCCAAAGAGCTGAAATGGCATGAAACCACTCCTTTAAACACCCACAACCTGCTTTTGAAGTGACAGTAGGACATGTCGCGTGGAAGCATCCACATGCTTTGAGGTGGTGTGTGAGCAGCCAGCAGATACAAAACAAGGAGCAGACAGCAACCCGCCCCCAACTCTCTCTTCCCATACCTACACAGGGGGAGTCTTCTTCAAGCACCTATCAAGGCAACAAATTAAAAGGCAGATAGATATCCCTTTTTGCTCCATAATTTTATATCCAAGCAGAAAAACGTCTACCTTAAACTGATTCCAGGAAGAAGCCAAAACTTCTCCCTAGGGTTGCTGGCTGATGGGAAAAGTAGCACATACTCTGATTATTCTGTGATGTCAAAGCTGATTATATGATAACATTTTAAGCCTTAAACTTCCTCGCAATTTGTACCACGCTAGCAATCAAATATCCTATTCATGATATATGCAGATGTTAATACTAGCTCCGTGTTAACTCTTTATACACACCGGTACACACAGCTGGAACAAAAGACACCACTCTTTGCTACACAGCTAACAACCATTTCAAATACTCTAATAGTGGGGTGCAATGCTTACTCGTAAATTATTATGACAGAATTCCCAAAATGCACCAGGGATAAACAATTACTATGTCTTCTCGGGATGTGTCTTTGAAGTAAAATACTGTGTATTTCTGGAAGACTGAACAAAATAGTAAGAAAATCTTGTAAATCAAAGTTCCTAGTGAACAGCACCCCTGGGAGAGAGCGTTGTCAGAAAAGCTTTTTGAGCCAAAAGCTAACTTGGTGCTTCCTCAGCTGCTTCTGTTGTCCTTGCTGTTGAATGATTTTTTATTTATTCAGACTATATGCAAAAAGAAGAAAAAAAGACAGGAGGAAGACAGGCTTATATTACACTGAACCTCTGAACTGCGCATTTAGGCAAAAAAAAAATTAAACAGGAGCATTATTAAACTTGATGCTTTGGGACTTAATTCCTGATAGGTTAATATGTATAATTGGATTAATCTGCTATTTGGAACTGACTTTTTAGATAAAAATTACTTCCTACCCTCAGCACATGAACACAATAGCTTTTGCAATACAATGGGCAGGATGTCCTAAAGGTTGCTTGTGTTTATTTATTGTAACAGCAGCCAAAATGACAATACTTAGACAGAATCTATTTCTGAAAAATGAAATAATAAAAATCCCCAGCCCCTGCCGTCCCCAAAATCAAAAATCCTGAAGAACAAACAATAAAAAAGGCACACACAGAGCCAGCAGACTGTAGACAGTTACTGCTCTTTCAGCTTTCCACTGAGTCTGTGTCACAGCACCTGCTCAAAGGCCTGCAGCAGAATCTCCCTGCAGCAATATCTCCCCAAGTATCTGCCTGAACTAGAGCTACCAATGGTCCTACATTCATATTTCAGCTGCCTTTGAGCACTTATCTACAACACAAATAGCTCCTCACCTACAGTTCAATCCAGTACAAAATGCAGTTTACAATAATAAATGGATTCAGTAATATCTGCCAGGCTTTGGGAGCATCCACTTACTTAGGGTGGATCGATAACCCCCCGGCAATGAGTCCTGAAGACTCGCTGGCAACAGGAACTATTATGAGGATTAATCAGCACAGAAAAGGATGAAGCACTGGTGTGGTAGAGCAATTGGTAGAAGACTTTAGAAAAAGAAAATTAAAAACAAAAAGCTGGCCAGACCAAAACTGTTCTGTTCCAGATTCAGAAGCTTTTTTTCTTCCCCAGGGTACAGGTCATTTCATCCCAGTGTGGACATCTGAAAGAGGCCAAACAATGTGCACCCTACCGGTGTTTACTTCTCCCCACTAACTACACAAAAGGAGGGTGAGGTCATTAACCAAGATCCAGACACCAACCCTGCAGATGTCTTGCATAAGGGCGAGATGAATCCCACCCAAAAATCTCACCGGATAAGGCCATTTCCGCACAGATCTCCTTATGGACACACGTGCCTCAGGGAGGGTACGCTGCAGCCTGCAGCAGGGATCCTCCTGAGGAGACTGAGGTGCTTTGGCAGCTGCCCTGGGATTTGGACATGTGAGCCAGCCTCAGAGATGGAAGGTCTGTCACCTCCTCCAGACAACACATGCACTGCACCACCACTGACAGTCCCTCCATTTGCAGATGCAAGGGTATCACAAAGCAGAAAATTAAAACTGATTGAGGCAAGAGACTGTCATTCTCATGAAGTAATACAAAAGTACATCCTTTTTTCTTGAAGGAGAGAGGCAGCTGGTGAGCCCTTCCTAGTGATTTTATGCAGCTGGCATCAATTACCACTTTAAGCCATTATCTGTGAATACAAACTCCCATTGAAACCCTGTTTGTCTTCCCTCTGATGGAGCTGGTGGAAGTGTTTTATACTTATACATTCCCTGTCTGTTTGTGACAGCAAGTCTGATTACCAGTAATTTTTGCAGTAAGCTATACTTTTGCAAGACTCACGTGGTTAAATCAAGCTTGGAGCAGCTTTCCTCTCCCTTTTCATGTGTTTCCCTTCAGAGACTAAATGGACGTGCCAGCATCCCTAGGGGGTTTCTAACTGCAACACTCTTTTACCAAAATAATCTTGTCTGTAAGATTAAAACCTGCATATGACTCCCACACAGAAATCCACCTATGCACATTCAGATAATTTCTAACCATTTGAATCAGCACACTGAAAATAAACCCAGGTGTGTTACCTCTAAGCCTACCACCCAGCAGCACCTGATCAGCTTGCTTACTGCTCCGCCACAAAGCTCAACATCCCTTGTTCTTCATTCATCACTGCACACTAAATATCAGTGTGGGTTTTTCTGCATGCAGATGGCAAATCAATGACTTGTTGTCTGTATTACTTCAGCATTTACAAAACTGTGATGATTTAAGTAGCTGAATATTTAAGTATTTGACTGTGGTTGCCACTGGAGAAACTTGCTGTAAAAAAATGCTACCAGTGCAGATCCATGTAAGGAAGATTATCAGCTGTTTTCCAAAGGTAGCACTCCACCCCCTGCAACATAATGGAAAGAAAACACTGCATATTTACACAAATTTTTGGAAGACAAGAAATTCAGAAACACTCTTCTGGACATTTTTTAGGGATGGAAGAGAACTAAGCTCTAGAAGTGTCAGAATCAGGGAGGACATAACCAAAGGAAAAGTCACTTCAAGTCTGTCCCTAAACATCATTGTCTAGATGCCTCAGAGACCAAGCACAACTGTCCTGACCTGTTCCAGCACTAAAACTGATATGAGACCCCTATGAGAAATTCTCTGAGAAACACACCTGGAGGAGTAAGGGGGAAATCACTGTTTCCCAAGCTTTATAGCACAATGAAATTATTTCAGGAGCTGAATTAAAAAAAAAAAATAAACAAAAAAAAAAAAAAAAAAAAAAAAAAAAAAACAAACCACCCCAAACCTCCCAAAGGTAGAGCAAAGACATATCTCAAGGCATGTAAGTGGAAAAAAAAAAAAAGAAACACCACCCAAACCTCCCAAAGGTAGAGCAAAGAAATATCTCAAGGCATGTAAGTGGTGACTTTCCATTCAAACTCCCTCACCTGGAAGATCTGTCTGACTACTGCTCTTGGCTGGAAATTCATTCTGCCAGCTCAAGGAGGAGAAACTCAGGGCTATTTCCAAAGGTTTTATTTACCCTACTATTATGATGCGAATGAGAAAACACAGTCCAGCAAGGTTAAAGCAAGACAATGTTCTGTGATAAAGGAGAGACCAAGTTTACTTATCCTACCATATGATTTATACACTGCTCTAAATCAGTGTGAAGCAGAATACAAATTGGTCCTTTCAGTAACTTCGCTTTCTGATTTAAGAAATGAGACAGTGACAAATCTTGTCTCTCCCCTCACAAATGATATCCAGTCATTTAAAGCTACAACCAAGGGTTTTTTAAAATTTATATCACTACCAAACAGTGTAAAATCAAACACCAGCAAAACAGGATGGACTGAGGGAAGCCTTCAAATCTCCTCTCCTTTGCTTTCCCAGTACTGCCCACAAAACTTTGCCTGCCTATACCCATGGAGCTGCCCTGCCTGGAGAATGGCAGCTGGCAATACTCTGCCTGGGGTTTCAGAATAAGCTGAGCTCCTGAGGATCACAAGCTCCAGTGGCAGCTTCTGAAATTTTGGAATCTTGAGACCACGGCAGAGTTGGGATCTGTGGAGAGCAGGAGGCAGCAGCCTCAGCCCAGCACTGGGAGCGAAAAGGCACTGCTAACC